CACTCTGCGGCAACTCACCAGGCTGTGAGTCCCACGCACTCTTCCTGAATGGACGAGTCCACTGATCTGAGCCTAGCCGGCTCCGTTCGAGCCGCAACGAGCCACCCGATAGATGAGCCAAGCTGCCAGCTGACCCGGCACATGGCCATTTGCCGGAGGCAAGCCACGACAAGCTGGTCCCGGCTCATCAACAAGCCAGTATCGTTCGTCGCTTTCGGCCAAATCTGTGCGGATTCGGCGATTGGCGGCCAGCCAAATCTGGGTGGACGTGGACCCGGTGATTCACCGACGCACAGATCTGGGAGGGGCTACGTGTCGAGCCAACCTTCAGCTTGTGGACGAGCAGCTTGTGGGCTGCTGGCTTTGCGTTGATGAGCTGACGAGCCCGCTTGACTTTAATTGAGCGAGCCAGTGGAGTAAAATCGCTGGCTCGACTTGTCGACGTGGTTGCCAGTCTGACGAGCCGAGCCGCCTTTGGCTCAAACTGTTGCTCATGCCTGGTCCGCAAAGGCAAGGGCTCTGCAGAGTTTCTATGGCAAGCATTGTGTTTTTGAGGCTTTTTGCAAAGGCACAAACTGCTACAGAACCATTAGCATACCGATAATGCAACAGATCTAGATGTCGCAGTTGGTATGCAATTGCCTTGAAATTGTTGTCGTGCGTCCACTGAGTCTATTCTGCGAGTGACCATTCGCATCTACCTTTCCAGCTCCCCTGTCTGTCAGTGTGCTCACATATCTGAATGCTCATGATAGCACGGGTCAAATGGTTGTGTGTGTGTGTGTATTGACGAATCATGTGTGCTTGGTGCAATAGGGATCTGAACTACAACAGCATCTCTGGCTCTATTCCTGCCGACATCAGCAAGCTCAGCAACCTGGAATACCTGTGAGCTCCCGAATATGTGCCACAGGTGGCCCCTCCCCGTGGCATCATGAAGTGGTGCCTTGTGTATTGTTTTGACCAAGTAGAAAACGACATGAAGGCATGCACCCGTTCCAGCACACATCCCATCCCACTAGACCAGCTTGATGATTCCACATGCAATTCTAGCTAGCATGGGTAATCCTCACTCAGTCAACCTTTGTGTGTACTTCTTTGTGTTGTGAGGTGCAGCTCAATACAGGTGAACTTGATAGAAGGAACACTGCCAAGAGAGTTGTCACATCTGAAGAAGGTTCAATTTCTGTGAGTTGCCGTTCGTGCTGCTGAGTTCTTTTGTTGCCGGTGCTGCGCTACCATCAAACGTTGACAGGCCAGGGAAGGCAAAGTGTGGCCATGCTAAGTCATGAGCTGCCCCCATTATTGCACTCAAACTGGTTCAGTACCGAACCGAACCTTTCTTACATAACCGGTTCAGGGTTCGTTCATGGAATGCCGAACCAAATTCGATTTGGTTGATGGATAGCTAAAGTCATTCACATGGTACCATTCATTATCCTCCTTCACCTTAAACTCTTCGACATAGTTTGCGTCAACCTGAATCTCCAAAAGGAGCAATGAGGAACGTACCAAACTTAATAAGACGTGACCGTTGAAGTTTAGGAAGTTCTTGAACCTCAAATTGAGATCTGACTCTGCATGCTATTTGTGGGTACAACAGAATCTGTGTGATGCGTCGACATGAATCAGGAAAGGCGACCAACCAGCTCGGCTCAGCGCTGCTTGTTTTCCATTCTTGACGAACTGGCTAGGCGACGAACCGGTTTGTTCTGAAATCGGGATGGTCGCAACAAGTCAGCCATCGAGAAAAACCTTCGGGACTGAACCGCACCGAACCAAACCTCGGTTCGTTCTGGTGCTCATGTACAGCCACCCTACAGTGCATGATCAACGGAGCAATTGACGGGTACCTCTGGCCATGTCGGTTCGGGTCGACCCTCGGACCCAGTACCCGATTTCAATAAATTATGCCGTGTCGGGCCGACCCGAGTAGGCTGGGTCGACACAACATATATGGAGGTCGTCTAGGTGGTTTGGCGCTGTACTGCACTAGCTGGAAGGGGGGTTGTCTGCTATGGGCTGAAGGCTGGCACTAAGATGGAATAAACAAGTTGGTCTAAGTGTTGTTGACAAGCTCAATGGTGAGAGATTTGGGTTTTGTTGACTTAGTGCTGTGAAAAGTTTGCTTTTTGGGAGAAGAGAGCGGCACAAACATAGCACAAACAATGTGAGCGCAGTAATTGACGGGCAAAATCATCAACCTGCTCAGATCCGTAAGAAAATCGCTGATCTGCACAAATCGGCCGGCGAAAATCGGGTACAAAACAGCCAACATGGGATCAAGACGAGCCACCTGTGAAAGGAAGGCTGGAGGTTGATACCCGGGGCGGGTCGCCCCGACCAGAACCAAATTCGCCTCGGGTCAGGAAAATCGGGTGGGATTCGCTGATGCTCAACCCCACATGAAGCACTTGCCACAGGAAAATATCAGGTCTAAATGGAATAACGAATACCGACAACAACTACATATGGCATCAATGTCGGAGAACCACCTCATCCTTGCAACCTGCTCTTCCTCTTGTCACTCCCTTGCCTTCCTTCTCCTTACGTTATTGATCAGCCTCAGCCACCACCTGCCCCCTCCTGTGCCCGTGCTCGGGCTGCCTGAGCTCGGGTCACAGGACCATGCTGCTGAGGCCTTGTTCCTTTGACTCCTGCCGTGTTGCTCTGATGTGCCTTCACCGGTACTTCTTTCTCATTCTCCAGCACCAGCACCCCAGATTCACGCACCTCTTTTACTCTCCACTACCCTGCTTCACAACTTTCCACCCACCCGTTCACTTGCCTGGGCATTCTCTCCCACCACCATTCCCTGTTTAACAGCTGCACTATTCTCTCGTGGTCGAGTTGCCCCTGCTTGGTGTGCACTTCTTCGATTACTGGTTTCCTCTCGCCTGGTGCGGGTATCACCCTCCATCTCTCCGTCGGCTGCATCTGCAGCTCCTGTTGATACCACCTGCAGTGGTGCCCCCCCCTCACTCTCGCTCTCTCTGTCACTGCCTCCTCTTCTTCCGTTTCCCCCATCAGCCACTTCATGGCCCGCTCATTCCTCGAGATGTTTGCTGATTTCCTGCTCCCCTTGGCCTCATTCAGCACCACCTGCTTAGTCAGCAGCTCCCTAAATTTACCCTTGCATATCTCCTTATCCTCCGGCGGCCTTTTCCTCCTCCCGTGTAACACCAGTTTGCGACTGCTCAGCTTTAGCTCCCACTGCTTTACCGGGCCCTTACGCCCCTCCTGTGTGGCAAAGCGCCTCCAGTGTTTCGCTAGCATTGCCAACATCACCTTCCTCCCTTCTTCGCTCACTGTCTCTCCCCCCTTCCACTCTGGATTCTACCCTTCCATGCGGGCCCAGGCTCCTTGTGGGACCGCGGCTGCCTCTGCTTTTCCTCCCACCTGCTCGTCCCGTTCCTCCGCTCCAGTTGCTGCTGATACACCCGCTTCTGCCCTATGATGGATTATACGCATTTAGCGTATATATGCGTATCGTATATACGCTAACGCTAGCGTGTATATGCCATACGCTTGAGGGTCGGATCAGGCATACGCTTTTTCGGGCAGGGAAAAAACATTTCGGGCAGGGTGGAAGAAATCCATATCGGTGGAAAAAACATCTCACTAAGACGTGCCCTAGCATTTTCCTGAGTCCGATCGGCGGGTGGGGTGGGGCAGGGAGTAGACATCATAGCTATACGGAGTAGTGTTGGAGAGGCTGTTCAAGTTGGAGTGCGCGTGCGGGTACACTGCTGCAAGTGGGAATGCAAGGTAGGAATGACGGGTTAGGAATTGGGCTGGCTGGTAAGTAGCGTGAGGTTTGTTGGGGGTTCGATTTTGATAGGTTGGAGTTCGTAGATAAGATGGTTTTCAATGCGGTAGAGGGGATGGGCTCAAATGCCTAGATGGGACCTGGGGGCAGACACAACGCCGGTGTTCCTGCTGGCCGTCCTTCCCTCCACTCCGTAGTCCCATCTCTTCCCTTCCCTTCCATGCCACGTACGCGCGCTGCACCTCCTGCTCTACTTCCCTGTCATCCTCATCCCTGGCGCTCGTTCCTGCCTCTGCGTCCCGCCTTTGTCTGAGTGCCTGCAGCTGTGCTTGTAGCCTGCTGAGCTCATGTTCCAGCTCTTCCGGGTTCCCCTTTGCTGTCCCCTCCCGCTGGTAGCAGTCCTTCGCTTCACGTCCCTTCTTGCTGGAAATTTCACACCACGATGCATCTGGGCACTCTCTCCTCAAGTATCCTGGCTTCCCACAGCGATCACAGTTCTTGCAATCTCTCCTAACGTGCCCCGACTGTCCGCATCTGTAGCAGGTCCTGTTCTCTGCCCTACCATCCCCTCGTCCCTCTGACCTTCCCTGATCTTCAGATACCATTGCTGCTGCCCTTATCGGCCCATGGCTCCTCTCTGTCGTTTGTGGCCGGTACGCTTCAAACTTCCTCTGCGCAAACTCTATTTTCTCTGCCAACTCGAAGACTTCATCCAGCGTTGTGTCTGCCCCCATTTCGTACACCCTCATCCGCAATCCGCTTCCCATGGTGCTGTCGAGTCCATCCAGGAACTTGCTAACAAGAAGGCCCATGTCTGCACATGTTACATCCTCCGCCAGGTTGATCAGCCGGTTGTAGTAGGTAAGCAACGACTCGCTCCACCCCTTCCTGAAATTCTGAAATTCTCTTATCTTCTCCGCGGTGTGCCCTGGAAACTGCCGCTGTAACTGCTTCAGAAATGCTTCCGTGGGGTCTTCCCCGTACCTTCCTGCCCTCTCTAGCAACTCATCCATCTTCATTCTGTACAGCGTTTCCGCCTCCCCTTCCGGTGTGTTCGGCAGACTCAGGAAAAAATCCACCGAGTCCATACCACTCCTCTCGCACCTGTATCTCACATTCCCTACTTGCATTAAGTAGTTCTTGAGTGAGGGCCCTGTGCGCTGATCTCCCGCGAATCGCGCCGACACTTCCACTTGTGCAAACATCGCCGTGCTCCCCCGACCGTCTCCCCATGATTTACTCAGTCCTCTCGCCTGCCTTCCTGATGACTCCCTCTCCCTTGCCCTCTTCATTCTTTCCCTTGCCACTCTGGCGCGCTCCGTGCTATATGCCAGCCCGCCGCCTTCCCCTTCGCGTCCGCGCTGGTCCTGTCCCACCCCCACCTCCCTTCGCATGTCCTCCGCACTCATCCGTGCTCCTGCTCGCCCCGACTGCCTCTCTGGCGAGTAATGCGCCCTCGCCCAGCCTTCTCTATGCGTTCCTCGCGGCCAGTGCCTCTCGGGCAAAGGGGATCTCTCGTCCCTTCTCCCTCCGTGCCCGCGGCAACTGTCTTGCAGATGCCACTCCTCCTCCCATCTCCCTCCCTGCTTGCGCTGCAGACCTGGCGAACGTGTCTCACCCCTTGCCCTTCCCGCGTAGTGCCGCCACGGATCCGGTGAGCCAGACCCGCCAGTCTGTCGTCTATCATGTTGCCCATGCCGATCAGGCGAGCGCGACCCGCCCCCCTGCCTCCCATCATGGTGCTGACGCACCTCAGGCGAGTGCGACCCTCCGTTCCGCCCTCCTCCGCGCTGCCAACGCGGATCAGGTGAGAACTCGTCCTCGCGCAATTCCCGTTGCTCCTCCGCCCGCCCCCGCTTCTGCTCTGATGAGTAATTCGCCTTCTCACGCCTCTCCTGTTTCCTGCGTCGGCGCCGCTCCAGATTATACCCATATTCCTCCTCTTCACTATACTCATGTTCCTTCGCTTCACACAGCTCCCCATCACTCCTTTTCGTCTGCTCCCTCCCTTCCTTACCCTCAGGGGAATCTTCTTGACACCGCCTCCCTCGTCCGCCTGCTCCTCGGCGCCCATGATATTCTCGTACCCTTCCCTTGGCACTTCCCGAGTCCTTCCTTGGGGACACATCTCGCTGGCAGCGCTCTTCCTCATCCCTCCTCCTGTGTCTCTCTCTCTCTCTTTTCTCCCCCTTGCCTCTCCATCAGGCTCCAGCACCAACCCTGCTCCTGCGCACGGGTACTCTTTCATTCCTTTACGGCGTGCTCTCGCATCCGCCCCCGTGATGTACTGCGACAAGCACTCACTCCCCTTAACACCGCTTCCCCCTCCTCCTGCCGCTGCCGTGCGGGCGAGCGCTGCGCGTGCCCCCTACCGCAGTCGTTCCCCCTTTCCTCTCGCCGCAGCTCTGGTGATCGCCCTCCACCCAACGCCAGGCGCCTCCTGCGCTCGTGTCCGCGTCTTGGTTCAGGCGAGCCATACATACCCGCCTGCGCGTCTCGCCTCCTCATTTCCTCATGGCTGGCTTCTGGCGCGCGCTCAGCCTCCTTGTCTTCGCCGCGCCTTGCGTTACTTCCGCGCATCCTGCCTGGCGAGCGATTTGCATCCGTGCTCCCCCGGCGCCCCGCGCCATTCTCAAGCATTTCGCCCACCGACCCGTCTGCATCCGCGCTACCGCGGCGCCTCGCGCCATCCCTGCGCATTTCGCCCGTCGAATTGTCTGAATCCGCGCTCCCGCGGCGCCTTACGCTGCCGTCACCCATTTCGTCCGCCGCGCGACCTGAATCCGCGCTTCCATGGCGCCTTACGCTGCCGTCACCCATTTCGTCCACCACGCGACCTGAATCCGCGCTTCCCTGGCGCCTTACGCTGCCATCACCCATTTCGTCCGCCGCGCGACCTGAATCCGCACTCCCCTGGCGCCTTACGCTGCCGTCACCCATTTCGTCCGCCGCGCGACCTGCATCCGCGCTTCCGCGGCGCCTTGCGCTGCCTCCGCGCATCCCTTCCGGCGAGCCACTTGCTCGCGCGTCCTTGCTCCCGTCGTCGCGCTCTTCTTCTGCGCCTTTTTCCTCTTCACCATCCCGCACCATTGGGATCTCGTGTGTTTCTTCCTCGCCGTCGGCCTCGTTTGCCGAATCCGACGAGTCCACCACGTCCGCGTTGTCGCGACGCCTTACACCCTCTCCTTGCTAGCCACGTGCCAGATTCCAAGGGTCACCGCTGGACGGTTGAGGCCTGGGCTCCGATCCCGCGTGCAGATCGTCCTCGCCTCCATCTCGACGCCCTTCAACGTGCAGATCTGCGCGGTCCGCCGCCCTCCTTGGCGACCACTCCCGCGATCTTCCTCGCTCCTGCGAGCGCGTCCTCCGCGACGGCGGCGTTTCCCGACGCGAGTACATCTGCTGCCAGCGCAGCTCGTGGCAGTCCATACTGCCCAAACGTTCTCTCGGCTTTTCTCCTGTTATGAAAGAGTTTCCTCCCTCACCCCGTAGGTCCTCCCATAGTGGAGTGCCACCGGATGCTAGATCTGAGGTAACAGCTTTCCACTCATATGACATAATAACAGGAGAAAAGCAACGAGAGGGTGTTTGGTACTGAATTTACCTGAACCTGGCCCAGTTGCTTCAGATTGGTTCGTTAGATTCCCACCCCTCGATGTTTCCTCTAACCCTTCCCAACAACTTCGCCTCAACCCCCCATACTCCCCAGCAACTCACCCACAAATTGTAATCATACAAAGACTACACCTGAACCTACACTTGCATCTACACCTGCGCACCAACTGTTATCGCATATGCACGAAGTGCATATTCGGTGACATCAAACACTGCACGAAGTGCATATTCGGTGACATCAAACACAGGTGCAAAAGCAAAACGAGTGCGAGTGTGTGGATCAAGAAAATAAAAACCTAACAGCTGGTCGATTGTAGAAAAACAATGCACCGTTCCCCATCTTTTCCTGTCTAGAAACTCCTACCACCGACCACTCGAACCAGATTGGGTCGAACTCCCTACACTTCAACTTGAACCTTGTGAAGTTCGACAAGTCATGTTCGAAACTTTTGCATCCGTAATGTCGGTTCTGTTTGGTTATCATGCCAGTTCGATCTGGTTCGATCTGGTTCGACCAGATCTGTTTCGAGTCCGGTAAGTGCTCACATCTGCCATGTGCACATCAAAATGCATTCTTTCGGCTCTACTTGCTTGCAAGCCAACCTTTCCCCCCATTTCCGCCTACCATTAGGTATAGGCAATTGGTGAAGTGGACCAAAGTCACCCGACTTAACTCGACTTGACCCTTCCTTTCCCCCACCAATTACATTGTGCGTGCTACTTGATCTGTTTGCCTTCGTTCAGAGGACTAAGTAGCAACACGCTTTCTGGGCCTCTACTAGACTTCTTTTCCGCACTACCCAACATTTCCTCCTTGTACGTGCATTTCTCCCACAAACATTCGAACCTGTTGGTACGCGGTGCATGCATGGATCCAATATGACTTTCCACTGCCAATCTGCGCAGACCGGTATTTTGCCAGTAATTTACTGAGCCTAGGCACTCCCGCATCTCCAACAAATGTGTTGAAACATCCCCACCGCTCACCACTCATCTCCGAACTGAATCTACAAGACCCAACCCCCACCACACACTTTCTACAAATCTCTCGACATTGCGCTTAGCCCAACCCCAGCGCCAGCTGTCGCGCTATTGTATGTTCAGCCTCCAGCTAAGTGTGAATTGCACAGCAAGTAAGGTAATGTTGTGCTATACTCGGCTTTTGTATTCTTACTTCCATTTTGTGTGCGAGGAATGCACTGTACCGAAGAATGCTCATTTCAGAGCCGAGGGGCTGGGAGGATCGAGGAGGTTGTTGGGAAAAGGTGGCGAATTCAATTCCAGCATGCCTAGTGGGCCGAATGGGTCCCAGCTAGCACCTAGAAGTCATCGCAAGCAGCTCAACTGACTTAGGGATGAGCAATATGACAAACACCTGTTCGGTTCGCCTCGAACTTTTTTGGCCTAAATTGTTCGGGGCGAACGTGTTCGGTGTTCGCCCGAACACGTTCGCCGTTCGCCCGGCTCAGCTGGCCGAGGCGCGATACGGGCCTTCGACGAACGCCAATGTGTTCGTCGACGAATAGGCCCGCGACCAATTTTTAGGGCGCGGGCCTTGGTGTTTGGGCTCAGATCAAGGCCTTTTGCCGTTGCTTAAGTGCGGATCAAGGCCTTTTGCCGTTGCTTAAGTGCGGATCAAGGCATTTCGCCGTTGCTTAAGCTCAGATCTAGCATTTCGCCGTTGCTTAAGCGTAGATCTAGCATTTCGCCGTTGCTTAAGCGTAGATCTAGCATTTCGCCGTTGCTTAAGCGTAGATCTAGCATTCGCTGTTGCTTAAGTGCGGATCAAGCATTTCGCCGTTGCTTAAGCTCAGATCTAGCATTTCGCCGTTGCTTAAGCTCAGATCTAGCATTTCGCCGTTGCTTAAGCGTAGATCTAGCATTTTGCCGTTGCTTAAGCGTAGATCTAGCATGGGCGGTTCTAGAAGGGCGGGACTGGCTTGCGGGGTGGGGGGAGGGAATGTGAAACATTTGGATTTCACTCTACTTGGATCTGAGAAGGTCCTTTAAGGCGAACGCGAACATGTTCTGGGCGAACGTGTTCGTGTTCGCCAAAACGTACGAAATGTTCGCCTCTCTTGGCGAACTTCGAACACCCTTTCTGGTGTAAAGTGTTCGGCGAACCGAACAGTGTTCGGTTCGCTGAACAGCCATGTTCGAGCCCAGGCGAACACGAACATGTTCGTGTTCGCCATTTGCTCATCCCTAAACTGACTCGCACCTTGGCCCTAGAGTTAACGAATGGGTTAGGAGAGCAGGATGTGGGCAAGGGTTGCACTCGAGCTTAGGATGTGTTCAAGGATGTTTCTCTTTGTACTGCAACTTGTTTTCCTACCAAGAAAGCAACCTGTTAGAAGAAGTAGAAACAATCAGGTGGTAGCCATTGCTAGGAACTGAGTGACTTGTTTCAGAGTAGCCTGTCAGATGAGGGACAAAGCACAACAAACGAGTTCCGAAAAAGGACAAGGGTGGATGGGTGATAAGGACAGGAGACAGAGGGTGAGAGAGGGGCAGAGCACAAGGAAGATGAGCGGCAGGGGGATGCTTTGAGTCATGAGGAAGGGGCTACAAGGCATAGGCTCACCAGTGCTGAACTACTTCACGATACAGCCTTCAGCGTATAGTTTATTTTATAGACCTCTATTTTGGCGCGCGAACTGCTATTCTGGCTAGTAACTGTAGCTAGTACCTGCCTCTGTAGCTAAGGTTCAAACTGACGGGAGATTTCTCTGTGTTTCTACCATTCGTAACCCACCTCAGAGCGGGTTGACGTCGAAAACGATTTGGGTCGGGTCAGTATCCTACCTGACTTACACCATTTAGGTAAGTTACTATGGGTCAAGACACGACCGACCCGGCCCGATTTCAAGAATCGGACCCGACCCGGCCCGATTAGGGATGAGCAGAGGGCGAACTCGAACAAGTTCGGGTTCGCCCCCCCTCGAACATATGCATTTCCCGAGCCGAACAGGGTTCGGTTCGGCGAACTATTTGCCCTAAGGCAGGTGTTCGCCGTTCGCCCCAGGGGGCGAACGATTTATTTCTGAGGGCGAACTCGAACATGTTCGCCTCGAACATGTTCGAGTTCGCCCTGGGGGAACTTCGTTATAGTCACAGTGGTCAGACAGGGGAACTGGAGGGTCAGGAAGATAGATAGGGGTGTGGAGGGTGTCTCTGTGTTCATGCAACACACACAAGCAACCCGACCTGGCTGGGTTAGGGATGAGGAAGGGGCGAACACGAACATGTTCGTGTTCGCCCCTAGACGAACACATCCGTTTGCCGAACCGAACACTGTTCGGTTCGGCGAACACTTTAAGCAAAAACTCGTGTTCGCCGTTCGCCTGTGAAGGCGTGTTCGGGCGAACCTCGAACACTGTTCGAGTTCGTCGCGGGCAAATTGCAGCAGCGGCCCGAACACGAACGTGTTCGGGCGAACATCGAACACTGTTCGACGAACAATTTAAGCAAAAAAGACAAACCTGTTCGGTTCGCCTCGAACGTGTTCGAGGCGAACCGAACAGGTGTTCGCCCTTGTGCTCATGTCTAGGCTGGGTATACCCGGCATGGCCTGGCCGAGTATGTTTCTTAAGAACGTGGAAAACGATAACGGTGTATTGACCAATCTAGACATGAGCAAATGGCGACACGAATGTGTTCATGTTCGCCTTGCCACAAACGCTCATGTTTGTGTTTGCCCAAATACCTCCAGGGAGGGAGGTGTGTGTTTGGGTGTTCGCCTTATTAGGCGAACGCCTCAGTGTTCACGCCAAGCACGAACATGTTCCTGTAACCTGTTTGCTCTTCAGCCGCCTTCGTTATATTCACATGATCCTGTTTGCTATTCAGCCGCCTTCGTTATATGCACAGGCAAGATTATGGCGTCTGAGGAGTTGTCGCTAAAACACTGGTCCTGTTCCCGCTGTTTTTATCCCTAAAACGCCGCAACACACCCTAATCACCTTTAGGCGCCAACCCTAAACTGACTAACTGAGAACAGTCTGGTTCCGCCAATCAATTTTTGTAGAGTCTAGGTATGCGAGCTGCTGGAGCTTGTAGTCTAGGCGTTGAAATGGGAGTTAGGCAATATGTTCAAAAATGAGCTTTGACTAGTGTCCCCTTCAACCAGAAAAAATGATTGCAGGTGTGTTCGTCGACGAACTTCGTTGTGTCCCCATAAACCAATCTATATGCTTCTCGTGAAGGATGCGTTGGGTTGGGGTACCAGTACAGTTGTGTGCGACTCTGGCACTACAACTGGGATCCAGCCGCTGACCGGCTATTGCCCATGTCTACCTACTACGAGGCGACATTTTGTTTCATGACACGACATTGTTGGCCAACCAAAACTTTCCACCCTAATGTGTTTTGTGTTGTGTTGTATGCATTCTAAATGATTCCCCATTCGTTCTGTTCTTGCTATCCGTGCTTAATACTCGTAGTCATGCCTACCTTTACATACTTTTCCCCTTGATACTCGTAGTCATGCTATCTGTTTTCCACTCTGTATCTGCATGCTGTTCCTTTTGGGTGCCCTCTCGTCCTCTCAAGGGCTGTGGACCACAATGGGTTCAAAGGTCATCTTCCTGATTCCCTTTTCCACCTGCAACGACTGTCACGCCTGTAAGCACTTCGTATGGACCCTGCCCCTCACACTGTTATAATGCCTATTTTGCTGCTACATTGCTTCCTCCCCTGAGGTAGAGAGCATACACAGGAAGTTGGCTGGGGAACCATTGGCCGCAAACTGTGGGTGAAGTGAAGTCGCCAATGATACTGGTTTGACTGACCTCGCCACTTGTGGTGACTTACTGTTACTGGTTTGCCCCTTCACACCAAACGCAGCCAATTATGCTTCACGTGTAGACACCACACCACCACCATAGGGCTGGATTGGCACCCCAGCGCACATGTATTGTGTACATAGACATGACTAATGGCACCTCATGTCTGCCTGTCCCAACCCACACAAACAAGCCGTCCATTTTCTTGTGCCTGGTCACCATTGTTTGTGGGTTTTATGAGCCAATAATCTTGCACTTTCCCATGAGCACCAAATCGAACCATGTGTTTTCGGCTTTCCTGTTTGACTCCAACCAGTGAAACCGGCACGAGTCGCCCTAGTCAAAGTGCTCTTTGGTTTGGCGCTGAAACCTGCATGCTCTCCCAATACTTCAGGGCATTCTCGCATTTCATTCTTCACATTTTTTGTGTTTCTGGCACTCGTAATGTTTTCCTTTGTATAATCCATACAAAGCCCTTTAACCGGTTGTCGTTAATTTTTGTTTGGCAAAACTATGTCCAAGGGGACACTAGTGGAGGCCGATTCCAACTGACCCAATCCGTTCGATTCAAACCGGCAAGATGCCTGAACTTATAAAAGGCCTGAGCCTCTATGCAACCGTTGGATCAACTAGTCAGCTAGTTTGACATTGTTCACATAAATATGTTCAGGTTTCGTTCGACCACTTTTCTTCCAAATAACTGGTAATTGACAAGTCAACATGTGAGTTGAATAAGCGGAAAAGCATTTCGAGCAAGATGAGGACCTGGTTGGTTCTTGTTTGCTTGGAGCTGTGAAAGGAGTATGCTTGCCCTTTCCGTTCTTTACACTCCCTTGCAGATGCGCATGCTCGCTGTTTGTTTCTGAATTTTGCTACCAGTAAAAAACATGACCACACACCATCACCTTTGCAGGCATCTAGAATACAACCACTTTGAAGGAAGCATCCCTTCTTCCCTTGGAGCCTTGACTCAGCTGAGCCACCTGTGAGCCACCTGTGAGCTTGCCCTTGGAATAGTGGAATGGAATGGGACCGTCTTCTTCCACTCCCTTGTGCTGCTATCCTAACTTCAGCTTGCCCTTCAGTGTGATTCTTTATCTCTCAGCTGCTTAATATTCACGCCCCCCCTACTGGCAGGTCATTTGGCGTAAATGACTTCACCGGCACCATTCCATCATCACTGGCCAGTCTTACGAATCTACGAGGCTTGTAAGGCTTTCAGTCTTCATTTCTTTGTCTCAAAAGGTCCTTCGTATGGGTTTCAATGAAGATATAGGCATGCAGGTATATGGGTAGCGATATCACAGCAGCTCTCCAACCCCTCATATTGTAAGAGATACTATCCCTTTCTCCCATCTCAGTGCCGGCAAAATCTACACTAATCTCACTAGCACGTTCGTTGTAGAAAATTCGTCTCATCGAGTAGCTTTTTTACTCCTCAAGTTCATATGCTTGGTTAATGGCACTTCGCAATGGCCAATGTGTTTAAACGAATCAGCACCCTCTTCTCCCATCTGTGCAGTGTGCTCCGTGACTTGCGCATCCATGGTCCCGTGCCACTGGCATTTAGCTCACTGCAGAAGCTTCTGTATCTGTAAGCCACACCACCGCACATCAGGCGTACCATGTGTTTTTATGTGATGACTGGTTAAGTGCTTACATCCACGAGGAAAACCAGACTTGTTCGTGTCGAACTTGGTCAAACCGGACCGGGGGGCACAGTTGAACCTAATTTCTCTGATTCAGCCCATGTTTCATCCTAAACAGCGTATAGTTCGATGTTTGGGTCCTGAAGGTATAAAGGGGATCAAGTGGAACTATTGCAATTTGGATCCAAAATGTTCAAGTTTGCTCATCTAATATATGTAGAGTAAACGGCTGTATGCCCAAGCAAATGTTATGTAGATGCAAGCTGGTTGATCTAGGTTGAGTTGATCTCGCACCAGATGGCAGAAAATGATATTTAAGCAAAGGTTTGAAAAGTGACGTTTGCTGAAGCTTGAAGGACGCATCAAGAGAACTGCAAGGGATGGTATTCTGGTGAGGAACATTCCACCCCAAATCTATACAGCAGCTAAAACTGTAGGGCACACTGCAGCTGTGTGTGCTTGCTGAGTTTCCAATCCCATGATTGGATATGTGTTGCAGAGAGCTGACTTCCACATTCCTATCAGGACCCTTGGCACCTGTCGTGACTCCTTCAGAAATTGTAAGCATATGCGTTTATGTGAGCATCCTTCCTGCTCAGTGCTTCTGCTTCTATCTCATCACAGACCCATTTCCCTGATTCAATTTTTCGCTCTCTTTTGTTTCTCGTGCCATTGATAAGCTTCTTGCTGTCAACCACTGCTTACTGGATAGTTCTTATTATCAGACTGTACGATCTGTCATTTCTAAAAGAAGCAGGTTGCGGACATACTTATCTTTGTTACATTCCTTCATAAAACAAGCAGGATTCTCGTCACTACCTAGGCGTTGTTTTTTGCTAAATTTGATCTCTCTTTCAACCGTAGACATGAGAACTTCTTTAAATCTCCCTACATTTACTCTATTTCACTCCATGTCGCTTTTGATCACTCTTTCTGCCACCATTGCCATCACCACCACCATCACCATCACCACCATGACCATCCCCATTGGTGCCCACAGGCTCGTGTCGTCCAACCAGTTCACAGGAGCAGTTCCCATGCCAGCCTCCAAGGGCCTGGCCACTGTGGACGTGCAGAGCAACTATTTCTCCTCTGCCCCCACCCGCCCCAAGAACTGCTCCGCTGTGCGCCTCTGGCTCTTTGACAACTGCCTGCCCTCCACCACCACCACCCTGTGTGGGCTCACCCATGAGCAGCGCAGCAAGGAGAGCTGCGCTGCATTCTGTGGGGTGGGGCAGGGCGGGGAGCTATGCAGTGGGCATGGTTACTGCTTCAAGAATGATAGTAACAGTGTGGCTGAGTGTGTGTGTGAAGAGCACTACTCCACTCGCAACGACCCTCACACATGCACATACACGAGTAAGCAGTATGAATGTGATGTGGCCATGTAATATATTTGCTCATGATCTAATGCTGTGGCCTGGGTTCGGCTTGTGGCCAAACTAGTGTATTACCTAGATCACCCGCCATCATGACACTTCACCGCGATTTGCATCAAGCCATCTCTCTTCTTCCCCATCCCCCATTCCCCTTCCCCCCCTTCCTTCCCCCACCTCCAGTTGACCCCGTGGTGGTCTCTTCTACCGCCACCCCAATAGTGCTGAGTGGCTCGGCGCTGACCTCTGCTGGCGGCGCGCTGCTGCTGACCCCCAAGGCCAACGCCACCTGGGGCACGGCCTTCACAGCCGCGCCTCTCCCCCTCTTCTCCTACTTCAACACCAAGGCCACATGCGGTTACCAGCTCGCCTTCAACGTATCTCTTGCCTTCTCTCTCGACCCGGAAGCGGAGGCGGGCGGGGATGGGCTCGTGTTTGTCGTTGCTGCGGCGCTGCCAGACCGGCTGGGTGGGGTGGGGAAGCGGAGTGTGGCGGTGGAGTTTGACTCGGTGCTGAGTGTGAAGCACAGCGACCCCAACGACAACCACGTGGGCGTCAATGTGGGCGGCTCACCTGTGTCCCTCACCTCTGCCACGGCCCCTCTCATCCTCAACGACGCCCACACCAAGCACGCCTCGATCCACTACGACCCCACCAGCGGCGGCACCCTCCGAGTCTTCCTTTCCTCCGACCCCGACCAGCCCCCCACCCCCATCTTGCGAGCTCGAGTGTCGCTCTGCTCCATCCTGCAGCCCAAGGCGTCAGCTGCTGCATTCTACGTCGGCTTCACAGCGTCGTCTACCGCTGCCCCACAAGCACACTCCATCCTCAGCTGGACCTTCACTGCAGGTGTGTGCCTCTCAGGTAAGCCTTAGCAAAGCCAAAAGGCGAAGTGCTTCAGGTCAAACCAGGTCAACTTGTGGTCACTGTCAAACCAAATTAGCTGGAACTTGGACTCTACTCATGACGCCATTAACTAGCAACAACAGCTATGGGCTCAACAGCTATGGGCTCAACAGCTATGGGCTCAACTTCAGTAGTGGAACTTCTTTCTTTCTTTTTCGATAAAGACTCGACTGAGTCGATTTGATCGATGAGTTTGAACAAAGAAGTGAAGTGAGTTCCAACGTTCCAGAAATGCATTTTCCTGTCAAAGCTTGGTTGCCCGACCTAGAGGGGTTTTCCTTTCAACTGGGTTTGCCTTGAACCGAACCCACAGTTGGGGATGTGCACGTGCCTAAGCACCCACCCGTTTGTTTTATGGCTGCTTGCTTATGACATGTCGTGTCAGTATACTGTTTGCTAAACAGAGGACGCTTTCAATCTCATATTGGTGGTTCATGATTCTGTACCATCTTAGAATGTATTGGAAGATGTTTAGTACCATTTTCTCTGTATTTTATATCAATAAGTCTAGAGAAAATCGTGCGGATTGAGCCACCGAGCTTTGAAACTCCCATCTTAGCTTAAAATAACTATTTCCACGTTGTGCCTACCCGATTGAAATTTCCATGTTCGCGACTCTGTTTTCCATAGTCAGGCGTGCTTCCAATCCAACTGTGTTTGATTTACCTTCCAATTTGTGGTGTTGAATTGAGTGTACACTTTCTGGTCAGGCTGAAACCTTTCCTGTTCCTTGTGTTGCTTGTATGCAACCGAGTTATGGCTTCACATTAATGCCTTCTGTTACTGTTTGCCGCGTGCCACTCCATCCATGTGGTTGCCGCTGTGGTTGCAGATGTTCCGCTTAACCCGCGCTTTGACCCTTCAAGTGAGTACGCTTGCCTTTTATTCTTTGTCACCATATGTGACTGCATTCCTTTCACTGATTGCTCCTCTTGGCTTTCAACACTGTTTTTGTAACACTGCGTTCTCATCCCAACGCCCAACACCCCTTCCTCCGCCCACCAGACCTGGCGTTGGGGTTTGTGTTGGATGAGGACTCCTTCTCATCACGGGGCTTCAATGCTGCCTTCCACTACGCCAGTGCGGGCTTTGACCCCGCGCAGGACAACAGCCCCGCGTGGACTGTCAAGTCCTACAGCACCTGGGTCCTGCCTGAATCCGCCTGGCCTGTCAAGAACCAACGGGGCTGTGGTGAGTCGTATGGCCACATGGGATAAACAGCAGGATAGGTGCAAGGTTTGGCTTGGAGCTGAAATTTGGGATGAGGGGGTTTTTGAGATGAGAGAACAGAATGCGCCAAAGAAGCCACAAATAGCCACGCATTGAGTGAGATTAAAGGTCGTACTTACCATTATGCACCTTGCCCTTCCCATGCACATTTCTTGTGCGTCCCAGCGAAGTTAGCGAGCGGGTGGAAGAGAGCAGCACGGGGCATGTGGCACAAAGCCTTTAGGGATGAGCAATATGACGAACTCCTGTTCGGTTCGCCTCGAACGTGTTCGAGGCGAACCGAACAGGATTTTTTTTTTGCCAAAATTGTTCGGGCCGAACGTGTTCGGTGTTCGCCCGAACACGTTCGCCGTTCGCCCGGCTCAGCTCGCCGAGGCGCGTCGAACACGAACGTGTTTGTGTTCGACACGGGCCTTCGACAAACACCAATGTGTTCGTCGACGAATAGGCCCGCGACCAATTTTTAGGTCGCGGGCCTTGGTGTTTGGGCTCAGATCTGGCCTTTCGCAGTTAGTGAAGTGCAGATCTAGCATTTCGCCATTGCTTAAGTGCGGATCGAGCATTTCGCCGTTGTTTAAGTGCGCATCGAGCATTTCGCCGTTACTTAAGTGCGGATCGAGCATTTCACCGTTGCTTAAGTGCGGATCTAGCATTTCGCCGTTGCTTAAGTGCGGATCTAGCATTTCGCCGTTGCTTAAGTGCAGATCTAGCATTTCGCCGTTGCTTAAGTGCGGATCTAGCATTTCGCCGCTGCTTAAGTGCGGATCTAGCATTTCGCCATTGCACGCTGGCACTAGATGGATGAAGAAGGGCGGGACTAGCTTGGGAGGTGGGGGGAGAGAATGTGCGACGATTTGAATTTTACTCTATATTGAATTTCCCCCTGGGCGAACACGAACATGTTCGCCACGAACATGTTCGTGTTCGCCTGTTGCAGCAATTCGTTCGCCTCCAAGGGCGAACGGCGAACACCTATTTTCACTCAATTCGTTCGCCAAACCGAACACTATTCGGTTCGGCAGAAGGCCATGTTCGTCCGGGGGCAAACACGAACATGTTTGAGTTCGCCCCCTGCTCATGCCTAAAAGCCTTTGTGCATGTCATGAGAGCATTTTCTTACAAGCTATCTTGAGAACAACCTGCCACAACTCACCATTCGTATTACAGTATGAGAGTGTATGGATGTGATCCCTTGTGGCCCCGCTCATGCGATACAGGTGACTGCTGGGCATACGTAGTGGTGGCAGCGGTGGAGGCAGCCCACAGGATCGCGAGCAACTGGGCGCAGCCCCCCGTACTGTCGGTGGAGCATCTGCGCCTCGCCCTCTCCTCCAACTGCGACGGTGGCTCGCCCACCAAGGCGCTGCAGTTCCTCCTCAACGCCACTGCCCAGGGCAAGGGGCTGCTGGAGGACGCAGTGTACTCGCAAGGCCCCCCCCTCAAGTGGAGATCGTTGGTTAGTAAGCGGCTGTTGGTTGGTCTGGTCTGCTACAGTTCACTGTGCTTTTGCCACCTTTTGATGGCCTCCTGGTGTCGCCCACCTATCGCTTAAGGGCAGATCGCTGGTTAGTGAGCAGCTGCTCGTGTCCCTGGGCTATTAGTGTTTCAGCACATTGTGCTTTTTTCACAGTGCTATTCACGTGATGACCCTGATTCTGTCGTCCACCTCCTGCTCCTACATTGGTGCCCCTCCCAGCGTGCAGGCGTGCAGCAAGTACTATGTGTTAGTGTTAGCCTTCAATCTCACACTGTGTACTTTGTATTTTCTATATCCTAGAGTAGTGTAGTTTGCACATTGTGTTTGGTTGGGTGTACACCTACATCCCAACCAAACCCAAATGTAATCTCCAAGTAATCTCCAACCCACCAATTGGAGATTGCCTTGGGATTACCCCCAATCCCTATGGATTGCCCCCGATTCCCTTCCCCATCCATTCCCTCCCCTTCTTGGATGTACTTAAAGAGCTTCAAGCTCATTACTAATGTATCGTTTCTAAGCCTAAGTTCTAAGATGGTATCAGAGCCCTGCAAACCGCACACGCGGATCGTGATCCTCTTATCTCTGCGGATGTTCGTCCCGCAAACCTCGGCGTAACCGCCTTCAATCTCGTCGCCGTTGATTCGCGACATTCATGGGCGGAAATTCTTCCGCACCACTTTCCCGTCACTCTCGACGGCATCTACTATCTCACTGGTAAGCGCATCGTCGGCGCTTTAGCCTATCGCTCGTTTTCGTCGAACATCATCGCGTCATTCCTTCTCCTCGTCGGGCTGTCGCCCGTCGCCTTGCAGCTTCTCGTCGGGTCGCCGCCCGTCGCCCTGCAGCTTCACCTTCGGGCTGCCGCCCGTCGCTCCGCATCTGCACTCCTACCCCCATCCCCCTCCCTTTCCCCCAGCTGAACAGGTGCGGCAGCGCAGCCGAGCAGCAGCGCAGCCGAGCAGCAGCGTAGCCGCGAAGCCGAGCAGCCGTGTAGCCGCGAAGCCGAGCAGCAGCGCAGCCGAGAAGCTGAGGGTGGTGTGTGGGGGGGTGTGTGGGAATAGGACTAGTAGGTAGTTGACACTAAATTGGCGTTTTAGTCGAATTCTCCTTCAGAAACCCTAAACCTCAAAATTCTCTTTCGTAAACCCTAAACCTCCGGTTCTTCAAAATCTCCTTCGAAAACCCCAAACCTCAAGTTCCTATCGTTGACTCAAGAGCGGCGCTCCGCGCAACACCCTAAGGGGTCTCCATCATGGCATTCGCCTCGTCCACCATGGCCAACCCCATCACCCCACTCCGTCTTGACGCCGATGGCTCTAGCTCCGACTTCAAGGCATGGAGCTATGGGGTTGACAAGCACCTGCTGAGTTGTGACGTGCAGGGATTGGACCTCAAGGATGTCCTCCTCAACCGTGGCAAGGGAAAACAGCCCCTTCTCCCTCGCGAGCCGACCGAATCCGCTAGTGAGGCTGACACAAAGGCATATGAGGAAGCCGTTGAGAAGTACCGGAAGTGGGAGAAGGCTGATGCTGCAATTATCAGCGTCTTCATCGCCTCCACCCCTCCAGAACTTGTCAACACGTTCCATAACTACCCTACCTCCAACGCCATCTGGAAGTATCTCCAGGATCGGTTTATGAACACGACTGCAGTAGGAGTTGCCATCCTCATCCCCAGCATGTTCTAGGTCCGCCTTGAGCATTGCTCGGGAATGGCCGACTGCATTGCCAAGGTTCAAACCATTCATGGCGAACTCAAGGAGCTAGGTATAGTCTTCCCCGAACTGGCCCCTGCAGTAGCCCTTCTCGTTGGTCTCACCACAACCTATGAAAACACAAGGAAGATGCTCCTCACGCTGACTGCAGAAGACCTCACTTTTGCCAAGGTCTCCACCGCACTCCTCTCTGCCGAGAAAGACTCCACGGCTCAGGCCAAGGCTTACGCCATCCGTGCTCCCATGCCTCAAGCCAGTGTCGCATCGGCCCTTGCCTCGGTGCCCCTCCAACGCAACCGCTTCCCACCGTGCACCTACGTCATCAAGTATGGCAACCGCAAGGGACAAGTGTGTGGTGGCACTAACCACCCCCCTGCTACGTGTTTCAAGAAGGACGACGAATGGTACGCCATCCACGGCATAGACAAGAGGCCACCGAACTGCATGCGTGCGCGTAAGGCCAACCTGGTTGAGGTCCAGGACCCCGCTTCGGCTAGTGATAGTGCTCCTCCTGCTGATGCCCGTATCAACGTGTTGTTCCCTGGCACTGCCATGATTAATGAAGCTTCCTCCCAGTACCTCGGCTCATCACAAGCACCACAATACATAGAGTTCACACTCGACAGCGGCGCCACACACACTGTACTCAAGGAGACACTCTCCTTCAAACCATGCGCAACACCCATCCCTCTCCTAGGAGCTGACTCAAGCTTCACCACTCATGCCAAGGGTTCATCCACAGTCCCGTGCCCCGCCTTCCCTTCCGGCACTGTCACTGGAATGTGCGTGCCTTCACTCCGCCACAATCTCGTGGCCCAAACGGAAATTCAGGAAGCTGGACTACGCACCATTTTCTGGGAGAACGAGAACTATGGTGATACCCTCGACCCACTCACCAACAAGGTCTTGACTCGTTTCACCCTCAACAGCAGCGGCCTTTACACGCTGCAAGTACCCATCCCACAGGTGTCAACCACCCAAACAGCGGTGACTACCTCACCATGCTCGTGCCGCAGTTTCTCCAACCTGACCATACTCTACCACCATCGGCTCGGGCACCCAAACTTCCGCACACTTGCTGACATGGCCTCCAAGAAACTTCGACTCGGCCTGCCAGCCTCACTTCCTCCACCACCAGACTCCCCCGCTCCCACGTGCCTTGACTGCACCAAGAGCAAACTGCGTCAACAGCCCCACCCGGCCTCACCCTCTATTGCAGCAGGACCACTGGACCTGGTACACCTGGACGTCTGGGGCCTTGCCCCTGTTCCCGCACGAGGTGGTTATCGCTACTTCCTTGTTATCGTCGATGACCACTCTCGCTACGTCTCTGTTCACCTCCTCCACACTAAGGCTGCGGTTCCAGAGGTCCTCATGGCGTGGGTTAAACACGCACAGATCGCATTTGACCACAAAGTCAAGCGCCTCCACTCAGATGGTGGTGGTGAGTTTTGCAACGACAAGCTCAAAGCCTTCTGCTCTTTAGAAGGCATCCAGCAAAACTTCACCCTCCCTGACAGCCCGCAGCAGAACGGCATAGCTGATAGCCGCAACCACACCCTGGTGCAGATCACTCGGTGCCTCCTCAACCACTCCAACGCTCCACACTCTCTCTGGGGGTACGCTCTCTACCACGCCACCCTCCTCTACAACCTTTACCCCCAGCCGCCCTCTCCCTGACCCACCCTCCCTCGTGTGGGCAGACTTTGATGCGCCTCCTGACCTCTCGCCTGCTCCGGCCCCTTCACCCCCTACCCCTCCTGCCACCGCACCGTCACCCTCTGCGGTCTCTGACCCGCCCTCACCGGTGTCTTCGGCAGCTGCTCCTCCATCCCCCTCACTTTCCACTCCACCGACTGTGCAGCAACCCCCGAGCGCACCTATCACCTACCATCGGCGGTCCCACCCTCCGGCCCCACCTCCTCCCCCGGTTCCCCCCACCACAGAGGAACCCGCTCTCCCACAGTCGCCCGAGCTGATCACGTACCACCGGCGGCCCATTCCCCCGCCCAAGCCTCCTAAGTCAACCCCTCCGACACCGCCTGCCCCACCCTCCTCTCCGGTGGCTCATGGCACTCGTTCGCATGGCGCGGCTCTTCCACTAGCGCTGGTCCTTCAATACACGGCGATCACACCGCCTCCTCCTACTGGGGGGGATGTGCCCTCTACCCTTGTGGAAGACAGGCATGAGGAGCTGTGTGATCTCCATGCAGTCATTATTCAGCTCTCGCACATCCTCCCCGACATCACTGACTCACCCTCCCTCAACTTCGCGGAGAACCTGACCATCCCTATCCCTCTCACCGTCCAAGAGGCTCTCTCAGGCCCTCATGCTGCCGAATGGCGTGCTGCCATGGAAGCGGAGATTGCAGCATTCACCCGCAACCACTCCTTCGACGACGAGACACCACCTCCAGGAGTCAACATTGTCGGGGGCAAGTGGTTGTTCCGTGTAAAACAGCTCCCAGACGAGGCCCCGGTGTTCAAAGCGCGTTACGTAGCCAAGGGCTTCACCCACCAGCAGTACCGCGACTTCTTCCTAACCTTCACCCCCACATCCAAACCTCCCACCATTCGTACGCTCATGGATGTCGCAGCTCGAGAAGACTTTGAGATCAAATCCATGGATGCCTCATCCGCCTTCCTACAAGGACGTATCAAGGAGACGGTGTTCATGGATAGACCAGAAGGCTTCCCAGGAGAATTCCCTCCCAACACTGTCTGGAAGCTGAATCGCCCCGTCTACGGTCTTAAGCAAGCCCCTCGCGAATGGCACAACAAGGTGAAAGAAGTCCTCCTCTCCCTGGACTTCCACCCTTCAACTGCTGACCCGACTCTCTTCATCCGCCGTCACTCTGAGCCATTCTACATCCTGGTCTACGTGGATGATTTCATCCTCGTTGCCAAGGACTCGGCCCAGATGACCTCTGTCCAGGCAGCCCTGAGCAAGGCTCTCCAGATGAAAGACCTCGGTGACCTCAAGCACTACCTGGGGATGGAGATCACTCGTGATCGTCAGTATCGCACCATTTCACTCTCCCAGGAGTTCTACATCGGCAATGTGCTCAAGCGGTTTGAGATGGAGCTGTGCACACCTGTTGCCACCCCGCTGCCGCTGCAACACCTCCTCAATGCTCCAGCTGTACCCACCCCAGAGGCCTGCTCTGAGCCATACCCGGAGCTTGTTGGGTCCCTCATGTACGCCATGATGTGCACCCGACCGGACTTGGCCTATCCTGTCAGTGTCCTCTCTCGCTACGTGGCCCCTGGACGCTTCGCTGATCTTCACTGGAAGGCGGCGAAGCGGGTGCTGCGCTATCTTCAGGGCACCAAGTCTCACGTTCTCACACTCAGTGGGCTCTCTCCTCCTCGCCTGGAAGGTTACACCGACTCCTCCTGGGCTGATGACCCGACCGATCGACGCTCCTCTCAGGGGTACTGCTTCACCCTTGGGAGCGGAATTGTCAGTTGGCGCTCCACCAGGTCGTCTGCAGTCTCCCTCTCTTCCTGTGAGGTAGAGCTCTACGCAGGCACCATGGCTGCTCAGGAGGCCCGTTGGCTCACCTTCCTACTCCAGGAGCTTGGTTTCCCACAGTCCGCCCCCACCCTCTGGTGTGACAACCAGAGTACCATCCACATCTCTCAAGACCCTGTGTATCACACCCGCACCAAGCATATTGAACTTCGGCACTTCTTCATCCGTGACCTTGTCCAACAGGAGCAGCTGAAAGTGGAATACGTAGCATCTGACTGCAACCTGGCTGATCTGTTCACCAAGCTCCTTGGGAAAGTTCCCCACCACCGTCTCCTAGGCGCCATGGGGCTCTGTGCACCACCCTCTCTACCCTGAGTTCGATTGACGCCTATGGGGGGGTGTTAGTGTTAGCCTTCAATCTCACACTGCGTACTTTGTATTTTCTATATCTTAGAGCAGTGTAGTTTGCACATTGTGTTTGGTTGGGTGCACACCTACATCTAGGCATGAGCAATTTTCCAAACGTCAAACATGTTCGGGTCGAACATGTTCGTTTCGAACATGTTTGGCCCCATTTTTTTTAGAAAAATGTTCGACCGAACATGTTCGGGGTTCGTCCCGAACATGTTCGGTGTTCGGAATTCCTACGAGGCAAATTCCCGAACATCAAACATGTTCGGAAATTTGCCCCACATTTCCGAACATAAGATGTTCGGAATTAACCAGCTCGACAAATGTCGAGCTGGTTGGATGTATTTCCTACGGAAAGGTCAGATCGAGGTCATTTCGACCTCGATCTACTTTTTTAGGTTAATTTATGAGTAGGAAGGATTAGTAGGCGCATTTGATGCCCAATCCAGCCCAACTTAACGGTTCCTGATGTTAACTCTGGTTAAATAGTCGTTACTTAGTCGTTTTCCAGAGTAAGTTAGGGTTTCCCAGGATTAACGGAAAACGACTCCAGTCCTAAAAAAACAGATACGTTTTGGTTTTGAAGTCCTACACTAACGTTGTTAGAGGTGCGATTTTAGGGCTTCATGGCGAAGGATCGGGTGGGAGGTGCCAGGTCTGTAATTGCTAGCATGCTTAACATGCTTGGCAATATGTCAGTTTCCTGGGATTCTAACACATGTGCTTTGTTGTGAGTTTCCCTTTCGCTCTGCCATCTTTCCCCGTGTTCTGCACCCCTGTCATAGATGCTTGGGCAGGTGTTGTACTGAATTGCACGACAACAAGGGTGGTGAAATCTGCAAAGTCACAAAAACAGTGGTCCCCAATTCTGCCAAGTCCCCAATTTCGAACATCAAACATGTTCGAACTTGACCGAACATGTAGATGTTCGGCAAACATAAAGACGTTTGCCTTACTAAACCAAACACCGAACATTGGAATCTTGAAAAAAATGTTCGGCCGAACCAAACATGTTCGGTTCGGTTAAGAAAAACGTTCGGGGACGTTCGGGCAAACACGTTTGATGTTCGCCCGTTGCTCATGCCTACCTACATCCCAACCAAACCCAAATGTAATCTCCAAGCAATCTCCAACCCACCAATTGGAGATTGCCTTAGGATTACCCCCAATCCCTATGGATTGCCCCCGATTCCCTTCCCCATCCATTCCCTCCCCTTCTTGGATGTACTTAAAGAGCTTCAAGCTCATTACTAATGCATCGCTTCTAAGCCTAAGTTCTAAGACTATGGCATCCGTACGATGTTTTGTCCGCCATCTCTCAGTATTCCACCTCCCTGCCTACAGGCGAGCACCAAGTACTATGGCATCCGCGGCATCGAGCGCACGGGGTTCTACGGGTGGTTTGGGCTCATGCTGGCAGTGCAGCAGCAGCCTGTCATTGTGCACATCGAGGCGTCCGCACCCTCCTTCCAAGACTACGATGGGGTAAGGCACCCTCCTTCTAAGACTACGATGGGGTAAGGCACCCTCCTTTGAAGGCTTCGACGGGGTAAGGCACCCTCCTTCCAAGACTACAATGGGGTAAGGCACCCTCCTGCCAAGACTACGATGGAGTAAGGCACCCTCCTTCTAAGACTACAATGGGGTAAGGCACCCTCCTTCCAAGACTACGATGGGGTAAGGCACCCTCCTTCCAAGACTACGATGAGGTAAGGCACCCTCCTTCCAAGACTACGATGGGGTAAGGCACCCTCCTTTCAAGGCTTCGATGGGGTAAGGCACCCTCCTTTCAAGGCTTCGACGGGGTAGGTGTTAAAAAGGTTAAAAAAACATTGTATTGAGTTGAGCCAAGAGACAGGTGAAAATAGGAAGCTAACCCTATTGGCCACCAATTTGGCCGATGGGTGAGGTTGCGTGTAGACCAAGCAACCACAATTGTGGGTTGGTTGGGATCCGTGGAGCTAAGGACCAAGGGTTGGCACTGGCAGTGCCAATCCAGGTCCAAGGGCCACACGCAATCGTGAGCAATCACAAGTTGTGGTTGGTCAAGCTTGCGTCCAACACCACCTCAATAGAATGAACAAGTGCACCTCAAAATCTAGCCTTTGGATGTGGTAGAGGACCCCGAGGTATCATATTGCGACATAAGGTATTCTCCTTCCAAGACTACGATGTGGTATGGCACCCTCCTCCCAGGATAGCGGTAACTACAAGTTACCTTTTGCCTACCCCTGCATGTTGGGTGCTGTTGCACTGACATTTGATCATACGTTTCATACTTGTGTGTGTGCGCGCGCGTGCATGATTGCATGTGTGCGTGCGTGCGTGCGTACATGCGTGTGTGTGTGTGTGTATGTGTGTGTGTGCGTTTGTGTTTTTGTGTGTGTGTGTGTGTGTGCACGCGCGCGCGTGTGTGTGTGTATGTACGTGCGTGTATAAGTGCGCGTGTGTGCGTGTGTGCATGTGTGTATGTGTGCGTGGATGCGTGTGTGCGTGCGTGCGTGCATGCATGCGCGCGCGCGCGTGTGTGCGTGTGTGTGTGTGCTGGTGACTCTATGTGTGTGTGGGCAGAGAGGCAAGTACGCGGACGAGGAGTGTTTCAGCAACCACCTGAACCACGTGGTGCTGGTGGTGGGCTACCTCTCTGCGGGCTCCGACCCCTCCACCTCCGTGCTGGCGCCCTTCTGGATCATCCGCAACTCATGGGGCACAGGCTTGGGCGACCAGGGCCACATGCGCATGGACATTCGCAGTGGCGACGGCATCTGCGGCATCAACACTCTCCCGGGCCTCTTCCCTGTTGTTAGAAGTGAGGCTAATCATTTACCCCTGTGCGAACGGATGGTGAATTTACCGTTTGTCTGTACCATAGCGCATGAACCATGTGCCCACACCGCATTCCCACTTGATTTGATTTTGAGCAGGCAGTGCTGATCCATGTGGGTCACGCTCCTTCCAGTACAGCATTCAAGGCCCCGCCTTCAACCCGTGTGGGCGGTATAACTGCAGCAAGAAGGGCACCAGCAATCGCTGCAAGTGCACTGACGCCCGCTTTGCTCAAGTCAAGAACACCGATGGGTCGTACACCTGTGCCTATGGTAACACAAACCATGGGAGGGTCACTGGTGATGTGCACATGCACGCGCACTCAGTGATTTGGAGACTTCACACTATTCGGTTCACCCTGTGTATGGATGCGTACCGCACCTGCACCTGGCCAATGTCACCCCATCCCATGCCTATGTGTGCTCTGTACACCCATTCCCGTGCTCATTTCTTTGATGCTTCCTCACTCACCTCCTCCCACGCCCACAGCATGCTCTTCCCATCCACCTCCCTATGCCCTCTGTCCATGCTCCTCATGCATGCGCACATGCTGCCCCCACTTTTCTTTCTTCGCCTCCAGTGGACGTGTGTGGGTCCAGCACTCGCAACCCATGTGTGGTGGGCACGTGTGTGAACGATGGCAAGGGCAGCTACTCCTGTGTGTGTCCCCCGGGGTTCATCCAGGGCACCACCCTCACCAACACCGCCTCCTGTGCTCCGGGTAACACTCCTCTGCTGCTCTCCTCCTGTGCTCCGGGTACCTGCTCTCTCCTCCTGTGCTCCGGGTACCTGCTCTCTCCTCCTGTGCTCCGGATACCTGCTCTCTCCTCCTGTGTTCCGGTTACCTGCTCTCTCCTCCTGTGCTCCGGGTACCTGCTGTCTCCTCCTGTGCTCCGGGTACCTGCTCTCTCCTCCTGTGCTCCGGGTTCCTGCTGTCTCCTCCTGTGCTCCGGGTACCTGCTCTCTCCTCCTGTGCTCCGGGTTCCTGCTCTCTCCTCCTGTGCTCCGGGTACCTGCTCTCTCCTCCTGTGCTCCGGGTTCCTGCTCTCTCCTCCTGTGCTCCGGGTACCTGCTTTCTCCTCCTGTGCTCCGGGTAGCCACCCCTCTGCTGCCCTCTACTGCCCTCCTCCTGTGTTCCGAGTTGCAACCATGTTCTGCCCTCCTCCTGTGTTCCGGGTAATAACATCCTCCTACATGTTCTCTCCTCTGTTCCGGGCAACGCTGCATGTCTGGATACAATCCCCGTCTGGTGACCACTATCGTCCTTCAATCCCAGTAACACCTTCCTTGTTGCTCTGCTGCATCTTTCACTCCACTGACTTGGTCGGGCTGGGAATCCAATGTGTGTGTCGCCGTGGTGTGGTGCAGGGGATGCAGGGGGGGTGTACACAGTGCAGCAGAGCAACGTGTGGTGCTCCCATGTGCATCCCATATTCGCCCTCACACTGGACCAGTTCCTGCAGCTGAACAAGGTACCCGAGTGCTGCACAGCACCTATCGGTTTCATGCATAGTACGGTACCTGAGTGCCTGCCTGCAGCACATACTTGAGTTCACCATTGGTTTTCATGCAGGACAGTGCGAGTGTTCCTGATCCTCCATTGTCTCTCGCGTGTGCCCCCATCCCATGCATGTGCCATCATCCCATGTATGTGCCATCATCCCATGCATGCACCATCATCCCCTGCATGTGCCATCATCCCATGCATGTGCCATCATTCCATGCATGTGCCATCATCCCATGCATGTGCCATCATCCCATGCATGTGCCATCATCCCATGCATGTGCCATCATCCCATGCATGTGCCATCATCCCATGCATGTGCCATCATCCCATGCATGTGCCATCATCCCATGCATGTGCCATCATCCCATGCATGTGCCATCATCCCATGCATGTGCCATCATCCCATGCATGTGCCATCATCCCATGCATGTGCCATCATCCCATGCATGTGCCATCATCCCATGCATGTGCCATCATCCCATGCATGTGCCATCATCCCATGCATGTGCCATCATCCCATGCATGTGCCATCATCCCATGCATGTGCCATCATCCCATGCATGTGCCATCATCCCATGCATGTGCCATCATCCCATGCATGTGCCATCATCCCATGCATGTGCCATCATCCCATGCATGTGCCATCATCCCATGCATGTGCCATCATCCCATGCATGTGCCATCATCCCATGCATGTGCCATCATCCCATGCATGTGCCATCATCCCATGCATGTGCCATCATCCCATGCATGTGCCATCATCCCATGCATGTGCCATCATCCCATGCATGTGCCATCATCCCATGCATGTGCCATCATCCCATGCATGTGCCATCATCCCCTGCATGTGCCATCAACCCCTGAATGCCTCACAGGGTATCACATGCTCTGCTCCTCTGCGTCTCAACTCAACCTTGCGCGTCAACTCCATAGTGCAACCCTGCTCTGTCTTCTACACCACCTTGCTTGTGAGGGCTCCAGTGGGCGATTAACTTTAGCCATAAGCCACTGCGCATGCAGACAGCACGCAGCACACAGCAGCAACGGTGGCTCCACGAGCTGCTATTCCAGCTCACGTCCAGCATGCTTTTTCCATTCAGCACAATATTGACCCACTCTGGATGAGCGTTTCCCCTTTCAGTTCGTGCTCTTTTGTTTGTTCCTGTGATGTCCTTCTGCCTTCCCATGTGCCTCCAGGGCGACAAGTGCACGGGAGTGGGACGGCAGGTGGAGCTGTGTGGGGCGGCGGCGTCGGATGCGGAGTGTGAGGCGGCATTTCAGGCGCTCAACCCCGCTGTGGACTGCTCCTCCCTGAGGCCCTCCCAGGCCGTGTGCATCGAGAGGGACCCCGGGGTGGCGAATGTGACAGTGGTGTGCGACCAGTACTACCGGGCGCGCCTCAACGACACGTGCGACAGCATCAGGCAGCTGGCGGAGCCTCCTCTCAGCCCCGTGGACTTCTACCGCCTCAACCCCGGCGTCAACTGCAACCAGCTCATCCCCCTCAAGAACCACTCCCGCTCCGCCACCACCTTTGGTGCTGAGGTGCGTCACTGTGGTGCATGCAGTGTGGTGCATGCACTGTGGTTGTGGTACATGGAGTATGGTGCATGGATTCTGGTGAATGTAGTATGGTGCACGCATTGTGGTGAATGGGTATGATGCAGCAATGTGGTGCAATGTTATGTGGGGAAGAGGAGACTCGGGATACAATGTAGTTGAGTTGCGCGATTCAGTCACACGGCCAAGCCAACTTGGTAGGAAGGTGTGTACAGCTGGAGACGAAATTGTCAGATTAAACCACTGGAGTCCACAAGTGGCGGCTTCAAAGTCGACGTGTCAACAGCCGCTTGGACAATGGCCGCCACCTGCTCAATCAGTGCCCTCAGTGCCACTCCCAAGGCCGACAACGCCAGTGCCATTATTGTGAGAGGAGGGACAAGGGACGACGAGATAGAAGGGAGGTTTTCCTGCCAAGTGCCATACCAGAGTCAGTCACAAGAGTGCGAAACTCCATGTGTTTGAGGCAGTTTAGCCACCTGGGAAAATCTACTCCGCTACTATTGGGTGCAATGCAAGGTGGAGGACTAGCAAGGGAAGAAATGCATGCCAAAGGAAGAGGCCATGAGGACGAGAGAGGTTCTGAGCAGCTGGAGGAGGATGAAGAGGTGGGTGCATTCTGAAGGGGAACGGCTTCTGAGCAGTCAAGCGAGGACTGAGAAAAAGAAGATGACGAGGAAATGGTAAGCAGTGACCAGCTGCTTTAAACAAAGGGGATGAAGGAGGAGGGGAAGAATGGTGAGTTGGTTTGGGTGGACAAGTGGTGAGCAGGTAGCGTGCAGATGGTGTAGGCAACACACATGGTGCTGCCAGGGATGACCAGCGTAGAAGTGGCATAGAATAGGCTAAGGATGGCACAAGCAACAGGTGGCGCACAGACGGGAGACAATGAGATGGTGACTTGAGAAATGTTGATGCTTGAGAAGCGTTAGAGCATAGCCGGAGATGATAAGACCAACCATATTGCTGTCGTCCCCCAGATAGAAGCCCAGGTGGGCTTATAGAAAACAATCAAAAGGCTCCTTGGTTTTTTTTTTTCAAGTCCATGGGACAATCAAACCGTACTTTAAGCGCTGTGATGCCATGTTGCCACAGCGGCAGCAGTGCTGGCCACGCAGGCGTGCACCTGGCATGGTCGCAGCAATGCTTGCTAGGAGTTGATGGCGCAGGAATGTCAAGGCAGTTTTGTTGGACAGGCCCGCCAGTGGTAATTATGTCAGGTGAGCTAGTCATGTTTTTTTCTGACATTTCTGGCAAATTCTCTTGGAACGAGCACACATTGGCCAAGTGGCAATTTAGCCCATGGTTGTTCCGAGTCCATTTGGACCTGAGTGCGCTTTTACCAAGGTTGACGGAATTTAGGGTGGGCATTTAATTGTCAACTGGCTATATGCTCATTGGTCCGGGTATAAACCACGGGCTTAATGGCCTGGTCAGTAAATGTTAGAGCAAAGTTTAGCCTATCACGATAGGATCGGATGGAACCCTGACCAGGGGTGGTGGCAGATTGACACCATTCACCTCGAGAACATTTAGAAGCAAGTCAGGAATGGAGCCACTGTGCAAAGCGGGCCAAATGAAGATAGCCCTCAGACCATAGTCAAGCCCCCAGACAAAGTCTGTCCTTCACGCACTCTGCAAATGCTTTTTGCTCGCTGTTTCTCCTGGCAACGTCACCAACTTCACAGTGACATGTTGCGCCATATCATGTCCGCTTCTTGCCGTCTCCCATTTTTCTATTTTCTCGTGCCTACAGGTGTGCATTGGCAGCGTCACCAACTTCACAGCAGGCATGTGTTCCAGAACCAGCTGTCAAAATTAGAAAGAAGAAAGAGGATTGAACTAGCAGAAATGGGGATACAAATAGCAAACCCTAGAAGGGTTGTACTCGCTATAGAGCACCCCACTACAGGCTAGAACAATAAGAATAATATTCTGACACACCCCCATAGCCAAAGTGGGGTGTAATCAGCAGAGCAGGCAAAGCAAAACAAGCTCAGGGTGGATCACAATGTCACCACACATTCTGAGCACAAGTTCAAGAAGAAATAGTTTAGAGTTCACAATTATAAGCAAAGCTAGTGGTAGTCACAACGGGCACGTGAGGAGGAGGAGGGAGAGTGAGGGGAGAGGAGACAGGAGGCGACGGCTGAAGCTGCAGACACACGGGCAACAGGAGGCAGACTGGCACAGCGGCTACCGGACAGCGCCCGGACTACAGGAGTAACAGGCCCCGCGGCTCAAATAGCGGCGGACGGGCAACGGACCCACGGGCGGCTGGCACAGCTGGCTACGACTGGGCTACCGGGACAGCGCCCCGGACTACAGGTGCTGCGAACGACAAGACGGCAGCCTCCGCTCAACATCCCGCACACAGTCCCACCCCCCTGATACACACCCACTGCTACACCGCTAGCTCTACTCCCACGCACCCTCCCTTAAGCCCTAAACCCCAGTCTCCCACACAACCACCCCCCTCAGCGACAGCTGCATCAGTGGGAGACGAAGGAGGAGGAGGAGCAAAGGGAGGAAGGAACACCAGCCACCCCCATACCCGCCACCCCACAGCTCGCCCCTCCTGAGGGGGGGGAAGGGGGGGGGGGGGGGGGGGGGGGGGGGCACCACGGACCTGAGTGAGTCGCAGGTGGGGGGGGGGGGGGGGGGGGGACGGGGCCGGGGCCGCGACGAGGGGCGGGGCCGCGACGGTCGGGGCCGCGACATAGGGCGGGGCCGCAACATAGGGCGGGGCCGCAGCGTTGGGCGGAGCCGCGAAGGTAGGGTGGGGCCGAGCCGGGCAGGCGCACGGGCGGCGACGGGTCGGGGCGGGGCCGCGACGAAGGGCGGGGCCGAGCAGGTAGGGCGGGGCCGAGCCGGGCAGGCGCACGGGCGGCGACGGGCCGGGGCGGGGCCGCGACGAAGGGCGGGGCCGAGCCAGGCAGGCGCACGGGCGGTGACGGGCCGGGGCGGGGCCGCGACGAACGGCGGGGCCGAGCCGGGCAGGCGCACGGGCGGCGACGGGCCGGGGCGGGGCCGCGACGTAAAGGAGAAGCCCGCCGCGCGCCTCGGGGCGCACAGCAGGCAATGAACCGCCGCGCGCCTCGGGGCGCACGGCGGGCAGAAAACCGCCGCGCGCCTCGGGGCGCACGGCGGGAGGAAAAAGTAGCAGCGGAAGCAAGGTGGGGACACACCCACAGGATCGATCCAAAGGGATCGACCTGCTCTGATAGCATGTCAAAATTAGAAAGAAGAAAGAGGATTGAACTAGCAGAAATGGGGATACAAATAGCAAACCCTAGAAGGGTTGTACTCGCTATAGAGCACCCCACAACAGGCTAGAACAATAAGAATAATATTCTGACACCAGCACCTACACTATCTCACCAGGGGATGACTGCAAGTACTTCAATGTCAAGTACTTCTACAGTATCAAGGGCTGCTACAGGCGAATGAATGGGTATGAATGTGTGGATAAGTTAAAGCCTGGAGTCAAGATTTGTACTCCAAGTGCAAACAAGGCACGAATCGGGAGTTGCAGAATTTGACCAGAAAAGCCGTTTGTTTCTACACAATGTATATATCACTCTATTACCATAGTCTCCCGGTTAGATAACCCGGTGGTGTTATCCTAAATGTGGTGAAAATTGTCAAGAAAAGAAGTGATGATGTCATTGATGTGAGTTGGGGTACATATGACAAACCCTACCTTCTGTACCCCCTAAGACAAACCTCATTATAGGTTACAACATTTGACACACCCCCATAGCCTAAGTGAGATGTGTCTAGCAAAACCAAAAGTGTATGGTCACAAGACCAATCACAAATATACAAAGCTCAGGGTGGATCACAATGTCACCACACACTCTGAGCATAAGCAACATTGGCCACAAGGCCAGTCAAAGAGTTCACAAGTGTGTATAGCAAGAGTAAAAGCAAAGCAAACAGTAAACTCAAGCCTATACACGACTAGAACATGTGACAACAAGGCCTAACTGCACACAACACCTCTGGTGGCCACAAGGCGAAAGCGCCTTGGTGAAGATGTCTGCAGTGTTGGCCTCGGACTCCACAAACTCGAAGCGAGCCTGTCCACGTCTCTGCAACTCTCGCAAAAGGAAGTACCTGACGTGAATGTGCTTCACTCTGCTCTCCAGTCGCGGCTCACGACAGAGAAGAATCGACGCCTTGTTGTCAGTGAACAAGGTCGATGCAGAGCTCGGCCGCTCACCAAGGCCAGCGAGCAAAAACGTCAACCAACGCAGCTCCTGTGCCGCCATGGCACCAGCGTAGATCTCAGCCTCAGCAGGAGGTCGAGACCGACGAGGAGCGCGTGGACCGCCAGGAAACAGCTCCAGAACCCAAGCTGAAACAGTACCCCTGAGTAGACCTGTGAGTCTCAGCGTCGTCAGCGTAAGAAGAGTCACAGTGACCAGTAAGTACGACAGGCTGCTGCCCTCCAAGAACTAGCCCCACGCCTGATGTCTTCACTAGGTACTTCGCCACCCTCACAGCTGCTGTCCAGTGAACAGGACGGTGCCTCAGTGGCGCAACAAAGCGGGCAAGGACGCTGAGAGGGAAGGCGAGGTCCGGGCAAGTACAAGTCATCAGGTACATGAGGCAGCCCACTAGCTCTGCGTAGGAACCTCTGGTCTGAAACGGCTCGTCAGGAAAGGGGTGAGTCTGTGATCAACAGCAAGAGGTGTGCGTTGTACTGTGGAGTGCTGAAGCTCGAACCGCTGAAGGACCTGCTGCACCATGTGTGACTGTGAGAGTGTAATGGTGCGAGCAACTCTGTCCCTGGTGATCTGCAGGCCAAGATAGTGACGCAGCTCACCAAGGTCAGTGTACGTGTGTCTCGTCTGCAGTTCGGACTTCACGTCTACCAAGGCAACCCTGTCAGCAGTGGCGAAAACCAGGTCATCGACGTAGACTAGAACAAAGAACGGTGTGGAGCCACGACGAACGAACAGCGACGGGTCGGCAGTGAGAGTAGAACGAAGGGTGTCGTGCCACTCACGAGGAGCCTGACGGAGACCGTAGACCGGTCGCCTCAGCCTCCACTGGGTCCCAGGAGGGAAAGTGCCAGTGAAGGCAGAGGGACGACGCAGCCAGACCTCCTCGTGTAGGCTACCCTTAAGAAACGCAGTGGAGAAGTCGAGAGAGTGTAACTCGTAGTCTCTCTGTGCCGCTACGTGCAATAACACCCGAAGAGTAGTCATCTTCGGGGTGTGCGCGAAGGTCTTAAAGAAGTCAACTCCCTCGCGTTGACTGAAACCTCTAGCCACGTAGCGCGCCTTGAAGACCGGAGGAGATCTCGGTGGCCGCTTCACCCTGTAGATCCACAAGCCATCGACTACGTTCGCCCCAGGGTGGGGGGAACCTCGTCGACGTAGGTGCCTGTGGATCTATAGGAAGCCATCTCTGCGTCCATGGCAGCTCTCCAGTGAGAGGCCCAAGGCCGTGACACTGCCTCAGCGTAAGTGCGAGGAGTCGGTATGTCAAGGGCGTCGGGGTCTCCCTCAGGGGCGAGCAGCATGGCACAGAGATGAGGGGAAGAGGCTGCTAGGAACTCTAGCTCAAACTGCCTGTCCTCTAGGGCGTCACAGCCAAGGGCAGACACACCCCCGACGGCCAGAGGACTGAAAGGAGGAGCAGCCACAAGACTGGTGGCGAAGTCAAGGCGGCGAGTAGAGGCAAACTCGGTGACTGCGGCTGTAAGAGCGGAGACAGAGGACACAGAGGCACGAGGGTGGGTAATAAGAGAGGCGAGAACACGAGAGAGAACAGGACGGTACGTGCGGTAGTAGTCAGTGACAGGAGTAGAAAGCGAAGCAGTAAGGGCCGACTCAGGAGGAGACGGAAGCACAGACGGAGATGGACAAGGCGGACTAGAACGAAGTAAGGTAGTATGAAGGTCAGTGAAGGGAACAGGGGACGTGGAACGAACACGAGGGGAGCGACGAGAGGCCCAAGTCTGAGAAGGAGGAGGGGACAACGAAGACTGAGAATGAGGGAAAACAGGTGGAGAGGGGTCAGGAGGAGGAAGCGGAGGACCCGAGACGGGAGGAGAGGGGGAGGAGGAAGGAGAGCGGGAGGGGAGACCGAGGGCCCGAAGATCGGAGACAGGAGGAGGAGGCGGCGGCTGCTGCTGCTGCGGCGGCGGCGGCGGCGGCTGCTGCTGCTCCTCCTGCTGCTGTAGCGGCTCCAGCTCCTGCGCCTCCTGCTGCTGCGGCGGCTCCAGCTGCGGCTGCTGCACCTGCTCCTGCTGCTGGTGCTGCTCCTCCAGCCGCTGCAGCTCTTTTTCCTCTCTCTCCAACTCCAGTTGCTCCTCACGGGCACGGCGAACACGAGCCTGGTGCCGGGTCGGGTAGGGGTGGGGGGGAGGAGTAGTATCGGGGGCTGCGTCAGCCCCGAGACCGCCCTCCAAAGCACCTGGCGCACCACCCCCAGAGTCAGCACCACCAACAGCAACACAACCAGGCTCACCAGGACCCGAAGAGGGTGCACCCGCACCCCCAGACGTAGCACCCCCAAAGTCAGCAGGGCCAGCACCAGCTCCCGGAAGACAAGAGTCCCCTGCAACCACGGGCTCAGCTCCAACTCCAGCACCCCCAGAGTTAACACCTGTAGGGCCCTCTTCACGAGTACCGGCTCCCACAGGGTCCGCAGCACGCTGCGAGGAGGACTGCGGGGAAGGAGGCTGCACCAGAGGGGCTACCGAGGGGGGAGGGGTAGCCTGGGACACACCTGACAGGGCGGGACCGAGGGGGGGGGGCTGTACCGGGGGAGCAGGAGGGGGAGCGGAAGTCAGGAAGAGAGGGGGAGGAGGAACCGGGAGACCTCGACTGGGGTACCTGACGTAGTAGGGGGTGGACTCCTCGAAACGGACGTCACGGGAGTCAAAGAACCGGTGAGAGGGAGGGTGATAAAAGGTGAAGTCAGAGGAGTCCTCAGGGAAACCAAGGAAGACACAGGGAATGGCGCGAGGCGAGAGCTTGTCCGTGGAAGTGTCGCGGACAAGAGCCAAGCAACCCCGGACACGAAACCTCGACGCAACACCAGGGGACCCGGTCCAAAAACTGGTCGGTGAAGCCTCTGGCCGAGAGACGCGTGGCCAGAAATTCAGCTGGTGAGCGGCGTACCTAACCACGTAGGGCCACAAAAAATGGGGGGCACGGGCGTGAGTCAAGGAGGTGCGGGCGATCTCCATGACCAAGCCTATGCGGCGCTCAGCAACCCCATTCTGCTGTGGGGACTCTGGAAGCGTCCAGGACTGACTAATGCCCTGCTCGCGACAAAATCCAGCGAGAATGCCGTAGCGAAACTCACCCTCACGGTCAGAGTGAAGACAGCTGACACAACGACCACGAGTGCCCTCAGTGGTAAGCAACCACCTGATCAGCGTAGAAGTCACCTCATACTGCTTCGCCAGGGGGAACACTGTGGTGTAGCGGGAGAAGTCGTCAACGACCACAAAAAAGAAACGCTCGCGCTCAGGGCCAAGGCGAGGAGCGGGGCCCCAGACATCCAAGTGGAGCGTCTCAAAAGGCTCGGTGGCCGGACGAAGGGAGGAGGAGTGAGGGGTGGCGCGCAGCCGACCCTCGACGCAGTGACCGCACGGCGGTGCAAGCGAAGGCGGCAGCGACGACAAGACACGCGGGAGGCCTAAGACAAGATGCTGATGAGACATAGCGCGCAGACGAGGGAGGGACGGGTGCCCCATCCGGTGGTGCCATAGAACGGTGGGGTGAGCAAGCGACCGGCAGGAGCACGACGCAGCAACTGGACCAGACACGGGAACCTGACCAGACACAGCTACCTGGGGGGACGCAGCAACCTAATGAGACGCAGGGACCAGACTGGGGGAAGTAACCGGGGCCGGGGACAGGAGTCGCTGCTGCTGCTGCACACCAGGGTCAGTGTGAAGTGTGTAGAGACCTGAGCCCGGCTCCGCTGTTAAGGTGGCAAGAGGCGCGTAAGTGTCTCCGTTAACACAAACCGCCGTCTCATTAGAGGGCTCAATCCACACACCCACGTGCTGACTCACAAGAGGCCTCACGCCCACCAAGTTCCTCGAGAACGAGGGGACATGGAAGCCAGTCAGAGACCCAGAGGGAATAGCAGGGCTTGGAAGAGTAGTAGTGTAGCGAGCAATGACTGGTCATGGGGTGGGATCAGCCAGTGCTACAGAGACCGGCGCTGGAAGCGGAGTAAGTGTCTTGTGGTCCCTGAAGAAGCAGTGCAAAGCCCCAGAGTCCAAAGTGAAAGACAGCGAAGCGTCCTCCGAACGAGCTCCTAGACTAGTGTCTACACAAGTGCCTACACTAGCAAGAGGCAACTCAGCAAGACAAGCACCTAAGCTAGCAACACTCGAGTAAACAGAGTCAGAAGCAATAGATTCAACAACAGCATACATAGCATGAGGAGTTCCTAAGAGATCAAGCAACTGAGAAGCTGACAAGCCCAAAAGGGCAGGGCCGTACGTCTGAACAAGAGGAAACCAGTCAGGGGCAAGGCCTCCAACGTCGAAGACCAAACGAACCGTGTCAGTGAGCTGAGCACAGCACTGACCAGGAGGGTGGGTACGGCCACAAGGCTGGCCTCGGCGAGCACCTGTCAAAAGCCGATAGGTGCATAAAGGGTGAACAACACCTCGCTGAGGCTGGCGCTGTCCTGGCCCCGAAACCTGCTGCTGCCGCTGTTGCTGCGAGGGGAGGGGCTGCTGCTGCTGCTGCTGCTGCCGCTGGGCCAGGTACCACGCCGCTACTCCACCCGCCGCGGCCGGCAGACCAGAAGGTGGCTGACGAGCCTGGGCGTCGCCTCCACTAGCCGCAGTAGCGGTGTCACCGGCCGCTGCACGAGACACCTCTCCAGGCCCTGCACTCCCGCCGCCACAAGTCGGCACGCCACACCCCCACCTCCGCCGCCAACGCCTCCACCGCCGCCGCCACCTGTACCCTAACCGCCCCTCTTGCCACCTCTACCTCGAGACCGTGAAGAAGTCGTAACAGCAGCTGCAGTCACGTCGGTAGTAGCAGTGGCGAGAGAGGCTGTAAAGGTGGGCAGCTGAGGGACAGTGCACCCGTGGAACAGTGGAGGGGGCACAGCACCAGAGGCGGAGGCTACGGAGCGGAGGTTGCTCTCAACGTCCTTGAGCGCAGACTCAAGGACCTCGATAGTGAGCTCACTAGGGTGCTTCAGAAGAAGCGTGTCATGGACTGAGGCAAGGCGGTCAGGGAGGCTAGTGGCAATGAAGTAGATAGTAATCGCCATGGGGGGAGGGAGCAGTGCAAGCTGTGCGTCAGTGCAGGCAGCGCGGTAGCTAGAATCAAGCGAGCGTAGGTGAGCAATCAAGTCAGCAGAGCGCTCAAACGAGGCGAGGTCAGGGAACAGGAACGGTAGGAAGAGTCGACCCAGAGAGACAGTGGTGGGAGTAGTGTAGCGGGCCTTAATCGCAGTCAGGAACTCACTAGCAGTGCGAACCTGAGTGAAGTGGGCCTCCTCAGACTCAGGGAGGAGGCTGCTAAGAGCGATGCAGGCCGCAGCGTCACGCGACTTCCACGCCGTGAGGTCAGCACGCTAGCTGGCAAAGCGGGCTCTAGCAGCGTCGTCAGGGGCAGAGCCTAAAGGCGTAGGGTCGTCGGGCGCAGGAATATCACCAGTAGCATGCGCCTAGAGGGACTCACCCGCCTGGACCTGACTCTCTAAAAGGCGACGCGCGCGCAGGAGCCAGATTGACAACTCGAGGGGTCGACCGTCAGTATCAAAACGAAGAACTCTAGGAGTCGCCATAATGGAGGTACGAGCGACAGGACGCGTAGTAGAGCAGAGGGAGGGCTCGAAGGAGGCCTAACACGCAGGCGCAGCGGAGGAGAAAACGAGCAGACGTGGCAACGCGAGCAAGCAGGCACGTGTGCAAAAAGAGACAAGACAGCACAGCGGGCGAAGGGCGGGCGTGCGTAGAAACGGGCGCATGGCGCAGGACGCAGGGCGGGGGGAGGCGTGGGCGTAGGGCGCAGGGCGCGGGGAGGAAACGGGCGCAGGGCACGGGGAGGCGCGGCCGAGGGCGTAGGGAGGTGACGGGCGACGGGCGTAGGGCGTAGGGCGCGGGGAGGCGCGGGCGCAGCGGGCGCGTGGGCGTAGGGACGACGCGGCGGGCGCATAGGGCGGGGGTAGGGACGCGACGGCGAGCAGGCGCGACGCGACGAGTAGCGGGGGAGGGCACGACGGGACGACGGGCGGGGAGAGCGCGACGTGACGCGGGCCGGGGAAGGCGCGATTTGACGGGCAGTGGGGGGGAAAACGCGACTCGACGGGCAGCGAAGGGAAAAACGCGATTCGACGGGCACCAGGGGGGGAAACGCTACGGGCAGCAGGGGGGAGAGGGGGGGAAGGGGGGGGGGGGGGGGGGGGGGGAGAAGGTCGCTACGCTACGAGAGCAGTGGATCGGCGGAACGAGTGGTAACGAACGAACGCGACTAGAGCGGGCCGGCGCTAGGCTCAGGCAAGACGTGCGCAACTAGTACGACTGAATGAGACAGGCTCGGGCGAAACGAACGAGGGCGGGAGGAGCGGGATCCCACAAGATCCGAACCTAGGCGACACCATGTCAAGAAAGGAAGTGATGATGTCATTGATGTGAGTTGGGGTACATATGACAAACCCTAATTTCTGTACCCCTTAAGACAAACCTCACTATAGGCTACAACATTTGACAAAAATGGGCTTCAAGGTCTACTTTGATGGCATATAGTGCAAAAAACTCCTGGACATCTCCCGTGTTAATTACTCATATATGGATTGTAAAGAAGAGTGATGAGGTAGCACCTTATCTTGTCCAGCCAGTCCTGATTACAACAGTTTCTACTATTTACGAGTTGCTCATCCCGCCTGCTGCTCTTCCTCCATCCCTGTCCTCGCTAAAGCCACAAATCGCACAGGGTTCCGTTTGGATGCATATTGTTTTGACAGAACTAATGCATCAGTTATATATAACTAGATGGTTTTGAAATTGATGAGGGTAATATAATGCACTGTTCAGTTAGAAAATTAGCCCCCAAGAATATTTGTTTATGTGTTGGCTTGATTCGCTTTAGTACCATACCCATGCCCAGTCACAGCAGATGAGGATGTGACAGGCAAGTCCAACCAAGTCGTCTGTGGTTTTCACCGTGCGAAGTCCTGCCAGCCGAGCACGAGGTATCACCCTGTTGGAGTGCCATCAACGCAAAATTTGTCGTGCTGTGAGTCCAGCATGGCAAAATGGGCTGCTAATGCTGGTGGAAAGGGTGTCGCATGCTCGTGATTGAGGGTTGTGATGTGCACGGTGCAAGCGAACCCGACTATCGGTTTTGCGTGTCCGATGATGCGAGAGAGAAGATCACCACCGAGACACCGCTTTAGACTATTGCGCACCAAAATAAACCGTTTAAATGTATTTGTAGACGAACAAACCACCCGCCCAAGAATTCAAGAATCCATTTGCTCCATTTGCTATTATCTGGCGGAACGCACAGTTTTGCTGGTTGAATAGATGAGGGATTCGTAACTTCGAAAAGTGAACAGCTCTATTGCCCCAGTTACTTTAGTAAAATCACTGCGAGGACCTCGGACCAGCAAGCACCTACTCACGAGCGATGGGACGCGGATACCTACTACTAGCAAGAGCGGCGGTGGTGGCGGTCATAGTGGCGCGCTGCTGCGTGCCTCTCGCACGGGCTGTTCCCGTGCCGGACGCTGAAAGTAAGCCGCCACGGCGTAGCGCCCCACATTTTGCGGCAAGTAGGACCCAGAGGCGCCCCGTTTCCAGGGAGTTCAAACTTCCAACTCGACCCTCCGGGTGGTACACCGACTGGCAGTGCCAGAAAATGGTGAAAAAAAATATAAATATATTTGCACTTACCTCCCCATCATGTGGTGTGGATGCATGGCAGTGGATGCGTTGGAGAGCCTGGCATCCGCATGGAGCGAATTCAACGACACGCTCACATGGAGCAGCGGCAGCGACTGTAACACCATGCGTTCTGTGTACTGCGATGCGCAGGGGCATGTCATGGCCATGTACGCATTGCAAGAGAATACCATGATACTGCAGATGCCAGTGCATCTCACAGCTAGTGCCGAGTTCCATACGCGATGATTCATCTAGATGATTTGCACTTATACATCCTACTGGCTCTGCTCTTACCCGTCTCGCCGTCCCTTGCTTCGCAGTGATGTGAGGGACAGCATGATAGCAGCCTCTATTCCGGAGAGCATCAGTGGCCTGGATCACATCTCATGGCTGTAAGTGGTATTGGGGGAGGCATCGGTCGGAGTGACACGTGGGCGCGAGAATGGTGAGTTGTAACGAATGGAATGGCTCGCGCCTGGTATTTTCTTTTTCTGCCTCGTGTTGTAACATGGTGCCGCCAGCAACAGTAGTTGAAGATCTTTTATTTGATGATCCTCTATGGCGTGCTACGGTAGTACCAGATTCTATCACAATGTGCTGCTTACAAGCAACACCTTGGGTCAAAATGAGGGCGTTAATTAGTAACAGCGGATGCAACGTCCCTTCATGGCATTACACTCGTGCCCTCCCTGGTTCCAACGTCCGCATTTGTCTCGGAACTTCAGGGAGCTGCCGTCAGGAACTCGGATTTCGCTGGACTGCAAGCAGCGACTGCGCTGCTGGGGTCAAGCAAGCGGAGAACCGTTTGGATTCGAGTCTGGTAACCACATTCCACTTCTCTCTACATGCAGAAAACGTGGACCAGCCGGGATTTGAATCCTAGGCTCTGATACCAGTATAACACCTCGCTACCCACTGGGTCAAAACGAGGGTGTTAGGAGCAATGGACGCCCTTCAACACAGCCCACAGGCGTTTTACAGCTCCCATGTGACCTCTTTCGTCCCCGCCCTCCCCTCGCTTCCACGCGCGCCCCTGCCCGCAGCTGCATCAAGTCCAGTGTGCTCACTGGCTCCCTGCCCGCTGCTCTCTTCGCCCTGCCCAATCTCCAACACCTGTGAGACTGACACTCGTGCTCGCCTCACTTGCCCTGCTTGCTCCATCTCCTGCTTCTACATCACGCTCCGCGTCCACGTATGCAGTCACATTTACGTGAACTTCCCTTTCTCTCCATCCAGGGTAATCTTGTACATTGCTCGTCCTTGTTTCTGGAACCATTCGTTAGCCTTAAGCATGCTCACCATGATTCTATTGTTCAGATGGACTTGTACGTGCGTACCTGCTGCGTATGCCTGTGTGCTGTACGGCTGTACCCATGCAGTCTCCTGAGCGACAACTTTCTCTCGGGCACCCTTCCCGACACAATTGGGAACGCAACTACGCTTCAATCCCTGTCAGTCTCCTTCGGTCATTGCACCGTCTCATTCCCACATGCGTCTGCCACTTTCTGACTACTGCAGCTTGTTCCGAATCTCTTTGCTGCCCTTCCCTCCCACCACATTGCGCCCATCCAGCATCCCTGCGCACTGCACTCTCGCGCGTCCCTGCCTTTCGCCTGCGTGCCTTGCCCTGCAATACATTGCCAAAGCCTGTGCACCTTCACTCCCTGCAGGCTTCTGGACGGGAACTTGATCAGGCGGCACCCTGCCCTCCTCCCTGGGCAGCTTTGCTTCACTCATATATCTGTGAGTCTCCTTTCCTGCCCTGAGCCACCTGCTGGTGCCTCATATCTGTGCTAAAGTGCTGCCCGCACTTCTTGCACTAGATGCTGGGGGAGGGGAGGTACCGGGTCAGCAACTCTAGTCAGCTGTGAAGTCGCAACCTGCTGAGTTCATTTGCATTAGTTCTCAACTCTCTCATCACTCCCCCGTGCAGATTATTTACCGGAAACAGTTTTCGGGACTCCATTCCGGATTCCCTCAGCAAGCTGACGTCACTGGAGTACATGTGAGCATGATTGGGAGGCAGCATGGCGAAGCATGACCAGTGGTATGGTGCTACTGGCAGTGCCATGGTGCTACTGGCAGTGCCATGGTGCTACTGGCAGTGCCATGGTGCTACTGGCAGTGCCATGGTGCTACTGGCAGTGCCATGGTGCTACTGGCAGTGCCATGGTGCTACTGGCAGTGCCATGGTGCTACTGGCAGTGCCATGGTGCTACTGGCAGTGCCATGGTGCTACTGGCAGTGCCATGGTGCTACTGGCAGTGCCATGGTGCTACTGGCAGTGCCATGGTGCTACTGGCAGTGCCATGGTGCTACTGGCAGTGCCATGGTGCTACTGGCAGTGCCATGGTGCTACTGGCAGTGCCAGGATGCTTCTGGCAGTGGCATACCAACATCACGCGACTGACGCTTCTTGCCAGGGTGATGCAACATCCATTCCCTTGGTTTGATCGCTCCCTGACTGCAAAATTTGCAGCTGCATTTCATTCCCGCACCCTCCTCTGCTTCCCGCCTGCCTGTGCGCAGGTACTTGGGGCGCAACAGCTTGTCTGGCTCCATCCCTGCGTTTCTCAGCAACATCCGCGGCCTGAAGCATCTGTGCGTCTTCTGCTCTTGCCGTCTCTCTTGCACCATTTCCAATCTCCACTGCAATCTCCACTGCCCCAGCCCCCCCTTTTCACCGTCTGCAGAACCCCAAGTGTCCCTTATGTCATGTGTGTATGCCCCCCCTTCCCACCCACCCCAACTCCGTCCCCGCACCATTCTGCCACGGCCGTGTTTCAGCATGCTGGATTACAACGAGTTCACAGGGGAGATACCCGACTTTCTCAGCGATCTCACCAACCTAGAGGCGCTGTGAGTTCATACCTCAGGGCGGGTAAAGCCAGATGGTGTGGAGGCAGGGGCAGGGGAGGAGTAGAGAGAGGACAGGGACAGGGACGGAGAAAGAGGAGAGAAGGAAACGTGGGGAAAGGGTGGAAAAAGTAGGCGATGGGGTGGGGAGGCGAGATAACTTGCCATGCTCCGTTATTTGCGGCTCACTCGCCACTCGCCCTGTGTGCGTACAGCGCCCAGTGAGGACCGTTTGCTGGGCTTTAGTCAGGCAACCACATTCCAGTTCCCGCCTCGTGCTGAGAATGTGGAGTGGCTGATGTCCGGACTCTAGGCTCTGGTTCCGGTATAACCCCACCCACTGGGTGACAACGAGGGTGTTATTCCTGGCGCAGCAGATGCCCGTGAACACTTGCTGTAAGCTCGTAGGCAAAACAGTGCATCGGCAAATCTTGATTATCTCCAATCCGTCATTTGCCCTTTTCCAACTCCTCGCGTAATCACACACACCTTCGCCCACTTCGACCTCCTGAATGCCCCCTCCCTCTTCATCATCTTTCACCTCCCTCCAATTCCCCCCCCTTCAACCACTCTCCCATTCGCCCACTCACCATTCCCTCACCCTCCCACACTTGCGCATCCGGGTCCGTAGATATTTGGGGGGCAACAAGCTGAGTGGAACTATCCCCTCATCGCTGGGCCACTGTGCTCGTCTCCATGAGCTGTAAGCACCATGAATGCACGCATAAGGGCATGGGTCGTCTCCTTTTCTGGGTTCTTGCATGCCTTAATGCACCCCTTGGCCCCTCACAAGCCCTTCTCTGAGTTCCTCCACGCCTCCTTGCTTGTGCTCGTATTCTTCATACTCTGCTGCTGACATCCCTCTCTCTGCCTCTCTTCACTATCCACTTCACTCCAAATCCTTTTGGCTGGGAGTGTGCATATGAATGACCCTGCTCACACTACCTGTATCGCAACAAGAGAACATGCTCTCTTAGTCTCCTACCCCGCCGCACGTCCCCTTAGTTTTCTCCTCAGCTGCACGACGCTGTCGTCCCCCACACCTATAACCTCCGCACAGGGACGTGAGTCGCAACAGCCTCACGGGAAACATCCCTGAAACCCTTGGCAACCTGCGTGATCTGCGCTATTTGTGAGCACCCATGCTCTACTGTACTGGGGGAGGGGAGTGAAGAGGGTTTGGGAGTGATGGTAAGGCAGGCATGCGACAAAAATGATGGCTTACCACTTCTGTCTTGCAATCATTTCCGTTGCATCACGTGTCTTGTGATGGTAAGCCAAGAAAGGCGCAGAGTAATGGGGGAATGTTGTTGCTTTGATGGGCTTGAGGGGGAGGTTGGGTCGTATAGGGAATGCTTGTGTGGCCAGTGTAGGTGATAGAGATGCCAATACCAGAAGAGTTCCCTCCAGATAACTCCACTAGATTCTTGTGCCCTCGTCACCTCATTGGAGCAAAGAAGTGACTCACTGTCGTCTCTCAATCGCTTCTGCACACTACATATTTGTGCCCTTCACAGAAGTTCCCTGTGTTTTGATGTGTTATGCTTGCTGTTCAAAATGGTATTGCAACGTAAAGCAGAGAGAATATTCGACCTCCGCATGCAGGAGCATGTCTCAGAACACGTTGAGTGGTCTGCTGCCCTCAGAGCTGTCTTCACTGCAGCACCTGGAGTTATGGTGAGGGTCGTGTCGTGTGATTTTTGAATGTCCGGCGAGGGTCGTTGGATTGTTGAATGTCCGGTCAGGGTCGTGTCTTGAGAAGGTCTTGATCGCACGCACCTATCTGCTGCTTCTAATCCGCTGCTCACAAGGATTGAAATTCTGGTTCGGGGGTCAATACAAGGCGGTCCTGAGGGTGACATGAGCCACTTGTGATGGTGCCACTGGTGCTGTCTGGCGCATCAATGCTGACTGTCATTCACCTGTCATGGCGACCTTTTGTGCTCATTGCTGCAAGGTAGGACCCTCAGAAAGTTATTGACTCAGGGTTCGGTACCTCTCTAGTGTTCAATCATTGCCCAACCTGTTCTCTGCCATCGTCTCTTTGTCCAAATGCCAGGAACATGAGCCAAAACCAGCTGGGAGTGGAGGTGCCTGACTGGATTGGTAGCATGACGACCTTGAAACACATGTGCGTACCACCACCGTTTTTCCATTGCACACAGTGTGTTGGAGTGCAGTGCAGAGTGGTGGAGTCACGGAGACTGCTACTTCGTTTGGTGTGCAAGGGAGAGTGAGGATAGGAGGAATGCAACTGTATGGGCTTGAGAAGCTGGCATGGTGAGGGGGGGGCGTGTTTTGAAAAGTTGCAGCCTCGTCTCTTCCACCCCGATACCTATCCTCCCCATTCCCCTACCTGCTTTTGTTTCCAAGTACCTGCTTCCTTTCCTCTACTGCACCACCTTCGCTCTCATGCTGCGTCCTACTCACTTTGCTCCACCTCACTCTCTTCTTTTCTTTCCTTACCCTGCTCCATACCCACAATCTCTCAGCGCCTTCCAATACAACTTGCTGTCAGGAGCTATTCCTGACTCATTCGGAGATTTGACAGGCCTGAATTCACTGTAAGAAACCATATTTTGGGGTATCATAAGCTGCCTAAGAAACGGGCCTAGTCACTGCAGCAATTGCGAGTCTTGCATGGTCGGCATGACTCTTCCTCAACAAGTTCCAAGTGTCAGCTGCAGAGAAGCAAGAGAAGCACCCTCAAGCTGCCATGGCCAGGCTGGGCTGACAGTTGGTTGGAAGAACGCTTGTGATCCTTGGAAAAGACAGCACCATGGCACTGGGGTCGTTTCTCACGACAGGCTTCTTTCCCATCCCATGCCAATGCGAGCCATCTCATGTTACAACGTTGCAGGTTTTTGGATGCAAACTGGCTGTACGGCACCATTCCTGCCTCCCTGGTCAACCTCAACCAACTCAGTAACCTGTGCGCCCAAGCTCGCTCTTGTTTGCTCTCCAATGTTGTGTCTGCTTTTCATTACTCATAAACAGAGAACGAGTAACCAGGTTTTAAGACTAGACAGGCTCATAAACAGAGAATGGGTTATTGGAAAATCACGTATGATTCTGTCAGTGTGGTCAACCCTTCCAAAGAAACATATAAAGGAGGAGCAGTCCCATCATTACCCATCCCCATCATTAACCCTGATCTGGCAATCCATTCAGAATCTTGTCTAATAACCTCATCGCGGGATCGATCCCTGCAGCATTCAGCACACTAACTCGCCTCGTGTACCTGTAAGCACGCCCTATCCATGCACCTCCACAATCTCGTCTCACACAGCACCTTCCTTTGGGACTCGCTGACTGAATGGCAAGAGGGCGTGCTACTTCCAGGCTCGTGTGCCTGCAATCTTCCTTTTCACACCTGTACGCCGGGCCCATGGAGTGCATTCTTATATGGGAGCCTCCAATTTTCCTCTATTTCTCCCTACTCCCGTGCATCCTTCATGTCCTGTTAAAGGAATGGCTTCACCATGCTGCACCGCACACTCCCTCTTCCCCAGTTGACCTCACCCCCTCTCCACTATACCCTTCCCATCGTGTGTCGCTGATGCTCCCCTCCTGCCCTCCATATCTCGCTCCATGCTGTCTGTGCGCGTTGGCGCAGCATTGTGGACGGCAACCAGCTGGTGGGGCAGCTGCCGTCACTGAAGCGCATGGCAGCGCTCAAGGAAGTGGCTGCACGAGGCAACTTCATCACGTCTGTAGCAGAGACACCTCCCGCATGCCCCCCATATCGGCTGCTGCTGGAAACAAGCTGCTTTGCATTCAACCTCACCATCTGTGGCACCCAGCAAGTCCAGAGGGAAGCTGGGTGGTGCAAGTGGTTCTGTGGGAACGAGCCCTTGAGCCCACCGTGTGGCGGCCATGGATTCTGCTTCTTGCTGCCTGGGCTTACATCTGGTCCCACCTGCGCTTGCGATTATGGTTACACGTACACCGGTGAAACTACCGCCACCTGCACCTTGGAAGGTAAGGCAAGGAGGCTACCCTTTTTTTCTTAACAGAGGTGCTTTCTATTTATTCTCTGCTTGTCAACAATTTTGGTCCTGAAAGGCTAATATAACCGCTGTTGCTACTAACCATGTATGGATACGGCCTCGTGCCGTCACTGCCACCATACGTTTCTCATGCACCATCCCACACAACCCATTGCTTTAGCCTCACGCACCCTGCACCCCTTCAATACCCATGCACCCATACGCACCCATGCCACTTCACTTCGCCACAATCGTTCCTACCCATCTCATGTCAACGTGAGCATCCCTCTTATCTTCAGGACCATACATCCCTTCCAGCCTCACCTCCTACGAAGACCCGATGAATATTTTTCAGTCGGCCTTCTCTGCTCCCAACGGCTCCATCTTCCTCACCTCAACGCCATCCACTGCACCATGGGGGGCGGCCTTCACACCGCAACCCATCGCCCTCTTCCTCTCCACCAACAAAAAGCAGCCCTGCGACCAGCCCATTGCCTTCTCTGTCTCATTCTCGTTTCGGATGACACCTGCTGCTCCTACCTCTGGTAGTGCTGCTGCAGGCGCAGGCAGCAGCACAACAGGCGAGGGCCTGGCGTTTGTGGTCACTGTGGCGGCACCCCAGGGGACTGCAGCGGGGGTGGGGCTGGGAGGGGTGGGGAAGCGGAGTGTGGCGGTGGAGTTTGACTCGGTGCTGAGTGTGAAGCACAGCGACCCCAACGACAACCACGTGGGCGTCAATGTGGGCGGCTCACCTGTGTCCCTCGCCTCTGCCACGGCCCCTCTCATCCTCAACGACGGCCACACCAAGCACGCCTGGATCCACTACGACCCCACCAGCGGTGGCACTCTCCGAGTCTTCCTCTCAGCCTCCAGGCAGCAACCATCCAAGGCTGTGGTGACGGCGAGAGTGTCTCTGTGCAGCGCGCTCAAGCCCACCGTAGGTGGTGGCTCCTTCCTCTTCGGATTTTTGGCAGCCTCTGCAAACAACACTCAGACGCATGACATCCTCTCATGGAAGATTGTCACTGGTGAGTGCATCATGAGACATGTGCATCATGAGACATGTGCATCATGACACATGTGCATCATCAGACATGTGCATCATCAGACATGTGCATTATCAGACATGTGCATTATCAGACATGTGCATTATCAGACATGTGCATCATCAGACATGTGCATCATCAGACATGTGCATCATCAGACATGTGCATTATCAGACATGTGCATTATCAGACATGTGCATTATCAGACATGTGCATCATCAGACATGTGCATTATCAGACATGTGCATTATCAGACATGTGCATCATCAGACACGTGCATCATCAGACATGTGCATTATCAGACATGTGCATCATCAGACATGTGCATCATCAGACATGTGCATCATCAGACATGTGCATTATCAGACATGTGCATTATCAGACATGTGCATTATCAGACATGTGCATCATCAGACATGTGCATCATCAAACATGTGCATCATCAGACATGTGCATTATCAGACATGTGCATTATCAGACATGTGCATCATCAGACATGTGCATCATCAGACATGTGCATTATCAGACATGTGCATCATCAGACATGTGCATCATCAGACATGTGCATTATCAGGCATGTGCATTATCAGACATGTGCATTATCAGACATGTGCATCATCAGACATGTGCATCATCAGACATGTGCATTATCAGGCATGTGCATCATCAGACATGTGCATCATCAGACATGTGCATCATCAGACATGTGCATCATCAGACATGTGCATTATCCGACATGTGCATCATCAGACATGTGCATCATCAGACATGTGCATTATCAGGCATGTGCATCATCAGACATGTGCATCATCAGACATGTGCATTATCAGACATGTGCATTATCAGACATGTGCATCATCAGACATGTGCATCATCAGACATGTGCATCATCAGACATGTGCATTATCAGACATGTGCATTATCAGACATGTGCATCATCAGACATGTGCATCATCAGACATGTGCATCATCAGACATGTGCATCATCAGACATGTGCATCATCAGACATGTGCATCATCAGACATGTGCATCATCAGACATGTGCATTATCAGACATGTGCATTATCAGACATGTGCATTATCAGACATGTGCATCATCAGACATGTGCATTATCAGACATGTGCATTATCAGACATGTGCATCATCAGACATGTGCATCATCAGACATGTGCATCATCAGACATGTGCATTATCAAGCATGTGCATTATCAGACATGTGCATTATCAAACATGTGCATCATCAGACATGTGCATTATCAGACATGTGCATTATCAGACATGTGCATCATCAGACATGTGCATTATCAGACATGTGCATTATCAGACATGTGCATTATCAGACATGTGCATTATCAGACATGTGCATTATCAAACATGTGCATTATCAAACATGTGCATTATCAGACATGTGCATTATCAGACATGTGCATTATCAGACATGTGCATTATCAGACATGTGCATTATCAAACATGTGCATTATCAGACATGTGCATTATCAGACATGTGCATTATCAGACATGTGCATCATCAGACATGTGCATTATCAGACATGTGCATTATCAGACATGTGCATTATCAGACATGTGCATTATCAGACATGTGCATTATCAAACATGTGCATTATCAGACATGTGCATTATCAGACATGTGCATTATCAGACATGTGCATTATCAGACATGTGCATTATCAGACATGTGCATTATCAAACATGTGCATCATCACGGCTATGCATTGGAAATGTCATGCTGCTGCGTGGTCGCTCCCTGCTCTTTCCTGCACATTCGGTCTAACTTTGTGCTTCCACGTGTGCCCATGTGTGCGTGTATGCATGCATGGGTGGGTGTGTGTGTGCGTCCGTGCGTGTGTGTGTGCATGTGTGTGTGTGCATATGTGTGTGTGTGCGTGCGCACGTGTGTGTGTGTGAGTGTGTTTGTGTGTGTGTATGTATGTGTGTGTGTCCGGGTCCGCGTGTGTGTGTGTGTGAGTGTGTGTGTTCACGTGAGTGTGTGTGTGTTTGTGTGTGTGTGTGTGCGCGTGTTTGTGTGTCTGTTCATGCGTTCTTGTGTGTGCATGTTCATAAGTGCAGGCAAACTTCCTGTAGCGGACTGGCTGAATGAAGCCCCTGGTAAGCATTACCAGCCAATGCTTTTGCTCGCATGTTCACAATCCTTATGTCAATTCATCCATGACTTATGCACGCCTTTGGCCGTACACCCCCCTTAGCAATCTCAAGGGGTTATTCAATCCATGCATGCCTTTGGCCGTACACTCCCCTTAGCAATCTCCATTCGTCTCTGCAATCCAACACCACAAACCAGGCAAAGCATTCGGCCACGTGGCATCAGCAGAGGAGGGGGCAGCAGGCAGTGAAGGCGAGAATGTGCCCTCCTCCTTCCACTATGCCAGCCTCGCCTTTCAATCAGACAGCCCAGTAATGGAGCCTTCTTGGAAACTCCCACCTTTCATTTCTTGGATGCTCAACGATGCAACATGGCCACTGAAGAACCAGCATGGATGCGGTATGGCATGTACATGAATGGATTGGAAGTTTATGGCATTCGGGTGTCGGTAGGTGGACTAGAGTCCTCATGATGGGCCATGATAAGACTGATCTTCTAATGGTGATTGCATTGGCTTGTGACAACCATCCAACAATTGCATCAGCCCACGCTGACAGTCCCACCGTGTCCCTCCCTGCACACTCCTCCCTGCACACTCCTCCCTGCACACTCCTCCCTTCACGCCCCTCCCTTCACGCCCCTCCCTACACGCCCCTCCCTGCACGCCCTTCCCTGCCCGCCCCTCTTCGCACGCCCAACCCCTCTCTGGCCTGCAGCCGACTCCTCGGCGCACGCGGTGGTGGCGGCGGTGGAAGCGGCCTACAGCATCGCCAGCAACAGGTCGCAGCCCCCCCGGCTGTCGGTGGAGCAGCTGCGGCTGGCCCTGTCGGCCAACTGCGACGACATGCCTCCGCGCGATGTGCTGGCCTTCCTGGTGGCTGCCACGCGCAAGGGAGGGGGGCTCGTGGATAACGCAGCAGCAGCGGCCGCCAGTCCCCACAGCATGGCGTCCGCCGGCCGGCGGGAGAGACTGGCCGTGGTGAGCTGCAGCGAGTGGTGGGAACTCATGCTCTCTCATGCTTGTGGGGATGGCTGCAAGCTACAGGACAAGAACTGAATGAGGGTGGAGCAGTAGAGGGCGCCCACTCAGCCTGTGGCTGCATGCACAATACCCAAGCTCCACCTACGTATTGGTACCTGGTTTTCAAGATACAGCATTTCATACTCTCCCTGTATCACACTCTCTCTATCTCATTTCCTGCCTGTGTTGCAGAAGATTAAGTACTACGGAATTCAAGGCTTTGAGGAGACCTCGTTTGATGGATGGCTGGGTCTGCTGCTGGCAGTGCAGCGGCAGCCGGTGGTCGTGCGAATAGAGGCTTCCGCGCAATCATTCTTTGAGTACGACGGGGTGGGTCAAACCGTTCCATCAAGGGGGGAGAGGGGGACGACATTACAACCTAGAGAAGTGGTTTTGTATGTGTTTCGACACACATTTTGTGGATTCTGAAGCAAATCCTCTTGTGCACACCTTCCGCTTCCCCTGTGCACCATCCAGACATACAAGTACGCGGACGCCAGCTGCTTCCAGAAGGGGGTGAACCACGCAGTGCTGCTGGTGGGCTATGCTTTGCAAGGCAGCACGTCCAGCCCTTTCAGCCTGGATGGGCCCCTCTGGGTGATCCGCAACTCATGGGGCACAGGATGGGGGGATGTAGGCCACATGTACATTGACATGCAGAGTGGGCCGGGCGTGTGTGGCATCAACACACTGCCAGGCATCTTGCCTATCCTCCGATGTACGTTCCGAGCAGTGGGTTCATGGTTCGTCTCGTGCACTCTTGTTTCTGGCATATGTGTTCCTACTTGTACCATGCATGCCTCTTAAGCCAATCATACACGTTGCTGGTTCCACCTTGCCACCGGTCTCACATATCTTACTATTTTGCACCACAGGCTCTCCTTACGCAGCTTCTCTCACCTGCATGTGGTGCATGGTGTGTGCATGGCAGCTACTGCCGATCCGTGTGGCAGCAAGTCAGTGATGCTGGCGGGCTCACCGGGAGGAGCAGGGAGCAACGCGTTCAACCCGTGTGGGCAGTTCAAGTGCTCCAAGGCCGGAGCATCCAACCGCTGTGCCTGTGGTGCTCCCCACTTCGTCCAGGCCTCCCACCCCGACGGCTCCAACATGTGCGCCTACGGTGAGCCCACCCCACCCTCACACTCCCTCGCACTCCTCTGCCTGCCCATTCCCATTCATCACTCACTCTAACACCTCCTTCCTCGATCTGCCCTGCCTGCCACTGCCAGTGGACGCTTGTGGGCTGGCAGGCAGCAACCCGTGTGTGGTGGGCACGTGTGTGAACGATGGCAAGGGCAGCTACTCCTGTGTGTGTCCCCCGGGGTTTGTTCAAGGCACCACCGTCAAAGGAACCCTCTTCTGTGCTCCTCGTACGCTCCTCTCTGCCTGTATTTTCCTCCCTGGCTTTTTGCTTCTCGCTCCTTTGCGGCTCTACTGTTCTCCAGGACTTGAGGAGGGCAGTATGTCTGAAAGGATGATTATTAAGCAAATAAAATTGGCTGGTCCTAGCACGTTTGCTGGCCATGTGTAAGCTTTGTTACTTCGTTGTATCTGCGTGCTCATTTTCATGATTTCCGCTGCATGCAGGTGACAACAAGGGCAGCTACACAGTCCTTGGCAGCAATGTGTGGTGCTCCCATGTGCTGCCTGTGTTCGGTCTCACTCTCGACCAACTCAAGCAGCAGAACAAGGTCAGCACGAATTTCTCTTGTTCTGCCACCACGTTACTGCCCATCGTATCTCTTATCAAGCCGTCAACCACGCTTCCATCCCTCGCGCGTGCAGAAGATCTCCTGCATCAAGCCCATCCCAGTGGGATCTAAGGTTGTTGTCAAGGCGACCCACTCTCTACCCAACTGCTCGGTCTTCTACACTGTCCAGCTTGTGAGTGTGCCAATACCATGGGACACCTATTTCCTTGTTTTATTAAAGCCATCTGCTTTGCTTTTTCGCATCAAGAGAAAACTGTAAACATGTATGATGTGTGCAGGGGGAAAGCTGTGTGAAAATCGCTCAGCAGTTCAATTTGAGTGACAGCTGCCCTGGGGATGGCGATCAGGCATGCGTGGACGCAGTGGTGGGGCTCAACCCTGGGCTCAACTGCTCAGAGCTCACACGTGGCCAGGCCGTGTGCGTAGAGCGCGACGAGAGCAGGGCGAGGGAGGTGGCAGTGTGTGATAAGGAGTACCTTGTCCAGGTGTGTGGCGGTTGTGATGCCGTGATTACGGCTGTGGATCCACCTTTGAGCCCACTGGAGTTCTACCGTCTCAACCCAGGCATCAACTGCAATTGCTTGTCCACCAATTTAGAGGAACGCTACTTGCAGCGCAAGGTGAGGAATTCCATTAACTGCGATTGTGGCATAAAATATCCAGAGCCTTACTCACTCACCTTTCACTATGGTTGTCTTGATGCAGGTTTGCATTTCCAGCAGCACACGGTACAAGACTGGCACATGCCCAAGGGGCACCTACAGTGTTGCAGCTGGAGACAGCTGCGCCATGATTGACGTGAAGGGGTTTGCCAGCATTAAGGGGTGCTACAGGAAGATGAATGGCTTTGATTGCTTGGAGAAAATGCCTCCCAGGACAATTGTCTGCACCCCAGAAGCTTCTGCTGCTCGAGTTGGGATATGTTCCACAGGATAGTGATGCATATTGGACTGATGTAAATTTGGGGGTCTATCCTTGTATATATCTTGCCACATGTGCCGGGTGGGTTGGTGGGTGTTTTGGGGGGGTGGGGTGAGGGGAGGGGAGGGTGAAGGGGGGAGGAAAGGTGGGACTTTTGCACCTTTGAGCAACATTCATAAGATTTGGGGCGGGTGATAACAGTCAGCGCACACTAATGATTTCTAATGGACATACCGTATTCCCCCGGATATAAGACCCTAGGGTCATGCTAAATCCCTAGAAAAAATGGGGGGGATCTTAACAAATGAACAAATTGTATAGTACCCGGGTCTTTTCATATGGCACATTTTTGTTAGTGTTTTATTCAAGACAGAATGAGACCACAAGTGCAGAATGCGTGAAGCAAGAATCGCAATATGAATTCATGAGGTTCAAACACACCGCTGGGCAAAGACGCATGAATAATATCTGCAGTGCATGCACGTGCCTCTATCTAGAACACTGCACTTTAATCGTTCTTCGATAGTATCGTGATTGCACGGATATAAGATGCGGTTGAATTGAAGACAGGGGGTGTCTTTAAGACAACATTGTCATGTTAATGATGAGCTTTGATTACAGGACACATGTGTGTGTACGAGTTACCATATTCTCTTAATATAGGACCCGGGGGACTTTCTACAAAATCAAGAAAAAAAAAAACAACACAAAAATGCTATGGTGAAGATTTAGGTGGCATGCAGCTCGTTAATCCTGGGTTCGCTTATTCGTCTATCAATCTTATTGGATTTATCATGTAGAGTTCGTTTACTGGAGGATGGCTTTTTTATTTGTAGCAAAAAACACATCTTTTGTGCAAAATTTGCGCAAACGACGCGTCAGGTCTGTGTCAGACTTTGTGTCTGACAAAAAAAAAAAAGGGCGTGTCAAAATTTATGAGAAAACTGAAACGAGAATGGATTGACCAAGGAATGGAAGAGATACAAATGTGCAACCCTAGAATTGTGTACCCCATATAGGCTACCCCACTACAGCCTACACAACATTATAATTTGACAATTTCTGTTAAATTAACAAGAGCCATAGCTAGGGTTTAGCTAGCTAGGCAAGAGAGAATAGCCAAAGGAGGAGGTTCACTAGCAAGCAGGTGGATACATATAGGAAACCCTAAGGGGCCATACTTACTATAGAGTACTCCACTGCAGGCTAGACAAACTACACATTCTGACACACCCCCATAGTCAAAGTGGGATATGATCAGCACAACAAGCAGCAGCTCATTGTTTACAAATATAAGCAAAGCTAGAGGCTATCACAGAGGGCTAGTGAGGAGGAGGAGGGACTATGAGAGGAGAGGAGGTAGTCCGCTGACTGCTGGCACACGGCGCAACTGGAGCAACTGGCACACTGGCAACTGGAGCAACTGGCACACGGGCAACTGGAGTAACTGGCTCCGCGGCTAGACGAGCGGCCGAAGCAACTGACTCTCGGGCGACTGAGCAACGGGCTCACAGGCGACTGGAGCGACGGGCTCATGGGCGACTGGCGCAACGGTCTCACAGGCGACTGGAGCTTCACGGCGGCCACCCCCCTTCAACCTCCCCCTTTGTCCCAAAACTCCCGTTCACACACCCCTTGCTGCACCCCTAGCTTCACTCCCACGACACCCCCCTAGCACCACTCCTTCGGCTCCCACACACCCACCCCCCTCAGCGGCAGCTGCAGCAGTGGGAGACGGAGGAGGAGGAGGAGCAGGGGACGGCGCACACACCCGCCACCCCCACACCCGCCACCCGATACCCTAAGCGCAGGTGGCGCACGGGTCCCTAGGGCGCTGCGACGGGCGACGAAAAGGGCGGCGCGCAGCCCCCGGGGCGCTTCGACGGGCGATGAGAGAGAGGGGGGCGACGTGCGGGCCCCCAGGGCGCCGCGGAGGGCGACGGGAAGGGCGGCGCGCAGGCCCCCCGGGGCGCTTCGACGGGCGACGGGAGGAGGGGCAACGCGCGGGCCCCCGGGACGCGACGACGGGCGACGGGAGGGGGGGACGCGCGGGCCCCCGGGGCGCCACGACGGGCGACGAGAGGAAGGGCGACGCGCGGGCCCCCTGGACGCGACGACGGGCGACGGTAGGAAGGACAACGCGCGGGCCCCCTGGACGCCACGACGGGCGACGGGAGGGGGGGGACGCGCGGGCCCCCGGGGCGCCACGGCGGGCGAAGAAACCGCCGCGCGTTCCCGGGGCGCGCGGCGGGCAGGAAACCACCACGCGCTCGGGGCACGTGGCGGGAAGAAAAATGCGTCGCGCGCGACAGTCATGAAAGCAGTGGAAGCTTAGGGTGGGCCCACAGGTTAGGATCGAACGAGCTTTTAATACCATGTTAAAATAACAGGAGCCATAGCTAGGGTTTAGCGATCTAGGCAAGAGAAATTAGGCAAAGGAGGAGGTTCACTAGCAAGCAGGTGGATACATATAGGAAACCCTAAGGGGTTGTACTCACTATAGAGTACCCCACGCAGACTAGACAAACTACACATTCTGACAATTTCGAATCTGGCACAAACAACGTGTCAGATCTTGATTTTTGCCTCTAAAAGCCTACGCGTTACTGCATTTACAACTACCATGTATAGAGAAAGTGGATCTTATAATGATGAAGGGGAAAACGGGGGGCCCTCACAAGACAGTATAAGCCCCACTCCCCTATAGAGAGTGTTAGTGGACCCTTTTACTGGCGGGTCATACAGCCGGGAGAATACGGTAAGACACATATGACATAATCGAAACTCTAATGTAGTATTGTGAATATCGAAATAGCGTGTGCGTTTTGACCTGTGTGTACCACGAATTCGTCCATGTGCTAGCTTGAAAAATGGAGATTGGACATGAGCATAACGAAGAATGATTGTCGAAGTAGGCTTTGAAAAAGGTTATTACAAGATATTACTGTCGAACTTATATGCTATAGTCTGCTTAGGCTGTAGTGGGGTAGTCAATATGGGGTACAACACTTTAGGGTTTCCTACTTGTACTCCTCATGCTGCTCAATGCATACATTCCTCAGATTCTCACATGGTATAGAGCAGGTTCCCTAGTGTGAATGCTTCCTAAGGGCCCACCACTAAATTTTTTTCTGCCCGGAGCGCACTTCTCTCCTGCTCGAGTCGCGCCCCGTGTGCCCTCCCTACCGTCGCGTCGCTAGCCCTTAGCGGCCCGTCGCGCCCTCCTCAGGCCCCTAGCGGCCCCTTTCACGGCCCCTCGCGGCCACTTTCACGGCCCCGTCGACGCCGCCCTTCGCGGCCACCTCGCCGCCCGTAGCGGCCCCGTCGACGCCCTACCAGCCTCGTCGCCGCCCTACCGGCCCCGTCGCCGCCTTACCGGCCCCACAGCCGACCCTAGCGGCCCCGTCGCCGCCCAGCCGGCCCCGTTGCCGACCCTAGCGGCCCGGTAGCCGACCCTAGCGGCCCCGACGCCGCCCTACCGGCCCCGTCGCCGCCCCTACGCGGTCCCGTCGCCGCCCCTAGCGGCCCCGTCGCCGCCTCCCTCCCTACGCGGCCCCGTCGCCGCCCCTACGCGGCCCCGTCGCCGCCCGTAAGCGGCCTTGTCGCCGCCCCTACACGGCCCCGTCGCCGCCCCTAGCGGCCCCGTCGCCGCTCCCCTCCCTACGCGGCCCCGTCGCCGCTCCCCTCCCTACGCGGCCCCGTCGCCGCCCCTAGCGGCCCCGTCGCCGCCTCCCTCCCTACGCGGCCCGATCGCCGCCCCTACGCGGCCCCATCGCTGCCCATAGCGGCCCCGTCGCCGCCCCTAGCGGCCCCGTCGTCGCCTCCCTCCCTACACAGCCCCGTCGCCGCCCCTAACTGGCCTTGTCGTCGCCCCTACGCGGCCCCGTCGCCGCCCCTAGCAGCCCCGTCGCCGCTCCCCTCCCTACGCGGCCCCGTCGCCGCCCCTACGCGGCCCCGCCGCCGCCCCTAGTGGCCCCGTCGCCGCCTCCCTCCCTACGCGGCCCGATCGCCGCCCCTACGTGGCCCCGTCGCTGCCCATAGCGGCCCCGTCGCCGCCCCTAGCGGCCCTGTCGCCGCTCCCCTCCCTAAGCGGCCCGGTCGCCGCCCCTAGCGGCCCCGTCGCCGCCCTTACCCGGCCCCGTCGCCGTCCCTAGCGAGCAGCCGAGCCGCCGAGCCGCCCAGCAGCCGAGCCGCCCCTGGCGCAGCTGCCACTGCAGCAGCCGCTCCTAGAGCAACCGCCACTGCAGCAGCCGTCCTTGGAGCAGCCGCCACTGCAGCAGCCGCTCCTGGAGCAGCCGCCCCTGCAGCAGCCTCCCCTGGAGCAGCCACCACTGCAGCAGCCGCCCCTGGAGCAGCCACCCCTGCAGCAGCCGCCCTTGGAGCAGCCGCCACTACAGCAGCCGCCCCTGGAGCAGCCACCCCTGCAGCAGCCGCCCCTAGAACAGCCGACCCTGCAGCAGCCGCCCCTGGAGCAGCCGCCCCTGGAGCAGTCGCCCCTACAACTGCCGCCGTCTTACGCCTGCCCTTCTCGACACTGGTGAGAACTGCCCTGCCCGTACTGCTGTTACTGCTGCTCTTGCTGCTGCTGCTCTTTCTACTGCTACTGCTGCTCCTGGCATGGCCAGATGCAGCTCCAGCATCGCCCGCGTGAGTCCCTCACCCCCCACCAGCTTCGTGCGTGGTACACTAGTTGGGGTTGTCGGGGTGGCCGTAGTGGGAGTCGTCCTGGAGTGAGTAGTTCCACAGCTGCTTGTAGTGGCCAGGTGCAGCTGCAGCGTCGCCCGCGTGAGTCCCTCACCCCCCAACAGCTTCGTGAGTGGTACGCTAGTTGGGGTTGTCGGGGTGGTCGTAGTGGGAGTCATCCAGGAGTCGGTAGTTTGGCAGCTGCTCGTAGTGGCCAGGTGCAGCTTTAGTGTCATCCGCGCGCGGTCCTTTCGCCCCAGCAGCTTCGTGAGTGGTACGCTCAGCGTGCCGAGTCGCGGGGTACTGCTCGCTGTCCGTACGTTATTCGCACT